GGTTGTGTATTAGAATCGAACAACAGTAAACCTGAAGATGGCCCATAAATTGAGCCGAAAACGTTAGTTGTGGGTAATAAATATATGTTTCTCAGCAAGAAGGTGTGTTTGATGTATCTAATATTTCATAATTCAGCAATATTCCATGCAGCTGGAAAAAAATTTCTTTTTGCAGATCTGTGTAGTAAATAAAGGGATTTTTAAACCCTTTTAGTTAATGCAAGACAGAATATCGGCATATATATCTCTGGAATTTAAATAGTATTACACTCGCCGCCACCGTCCGACTCGACGGAATAAGTCACGACCCGCGTTTCACCGCCCGCAGAAAACAATGAAGTGCAGTAATATCGTCCGAAGTCGAGCCAACCGACATTCGTAAATTTATTTCTTAAATTAACAAAAATTATTTTAGCAATTTCAAATAAAGAACTTTTAAACTTAAAGAAGAAAGTAAAATTTTAAAAATTATCGAAGGACGCACGAGATAGCGCGCTTAGTCTTTCGTCTGAAATTCAGAGATTTTACCGAGTTTTCGACCTAGCAATTCACCACATCATAACCCGTCATTCATAATTACACACGCAGTCTAGTCAATAAGTTCTCGGACTCGCACGGACGGGAAACAAAGCCACTAAACTTTTTACTAATAAAAGGAATCGTCAGGCAAGTCCATCTTTCGACGTACGCCCCATTTTGCCCCACACGCTCTCTCCGGCAGAAACAGCGGTAATAGTTGATATTTACTGAATGGGCCCGTTTTTTCTAATTTTGCTCTCTTTAGACACCTCTCTAATAGACGTGTCCTAAACAAATTTCTATCCGCAAAGTTTACTTTACGAGAGAAGAGAAACTTACTGTGAGAAGACGCATATGACGTCACCTTCCGTCAGATCGTAATCCAAACCGCCGACGAACACCCAAGGACTTTTCTGGTAGATCTTGTGCCACGAACAACTGGCGTTAATGCCTAACTGAATTTCCCTTTCGTTTAACTTAGTTATGTTCTTTACATTTCTGTAATAAGATGATATTGCGTCGTTCAAACGACTTCTCAAGCAATTAAGCAACAAACTACAACTTACGTCATAGGATTCATGGCTCTTCTTTCGTTTCCAAACACTCGTCAAAACAATCGACTGCGTGCCGCCATTTGTAATACTCTCGTAAACGATGCACCTCCTATTCCGGAAGTAGACGAGAATAAGCGATCGCTTTGACTTATTTTTTTTTTTATATTTAAAACGAAAAGTTATTAATAAAAACTATAAAAATAATTTTATACTCTTTTCAAACGTATTACTCACTAATAAAATGATATTTATTAATGAGTTAGAAAAAGCGCTTAAAAAACGAATTCGGTTATTTCACGGGCAATAAAAACATAAAGTTTGATAAAAGTAATAAAGTGAGTTGCTTAAAGTAATAAAATAGTACGAGAGATAAAAAATATATTATCGCGACTCGTATAAGCGAACAATGTTTGTTTAATTAGGAAAGTTCTATTATTACAATTTCATTTATTCATTTTAATTAACTCGTTAAATGACGTAGCGATACTGCCGATATAATAATCAATTTATACGTAGACAATGATTTTATACGCCGGAAGGTAAAATATTTACGAATAAAAAACGTACGCGGGCGAAATTCAGGCTAATTTCTGTCCAAATTCCTTCGTTTTGAAAACGAAGGAATTTGGACAGAGTGCGCGATTTAGTCGCCATCTGGTGATATATTTAATAATTAAAGGGATTACATCTATAAGAAGAAAAAATTACTTGTCTAATTCTAATTACAAGTATAAAACGGCTTAAAAGTAGATCGAACAATGCGAAACACGGCGACAAAAAAGAAATAATCCGGGTCATCGGCCGAACATAAGGAAACGCATTCTATGGAATACTTTATCGGTTTCCGGGAGGAAACATCCCGCCTGACATCGGGATTTCCGATTTGAATTTTTATTGGCCAGGACGCGATGTCTTTTAGCAAATTTGGTTAACANTTTCATTTATTCATTTTAATTAACTCGTTAAATGACGTAGCGATACTGCCGATATAATAATCAATTTATACGTAGACAATGATTTTATACGCCGGAAGGTAAAATATTTACGAATAAAAAACGTACGCGGGCGAAATTCAGGCTAATTTCTGTCCAAATTCCTTCGTTTTGAAAACGAAGGAATTTGGACAGAGTGCGCGATTTAGTCGCCATCTGGTGATATATTTAATAATTAAAGGGATTACATCTATAAGAAGAAAAAATTACTTGTCTAATTCTAATTACAAGTATAAAACGGCTTAAAAGTAGATCGAACAATGCGAAACATGGCGACAAAAAAAAAATAATCCGGGTCATCGGCCGAACATAAGGAAACGCATTCTATGGAATACTTTATCGGTTTCCGGGAGGAAACATCCCGCCTGACATCGGGATTTCCGATTTGAATTTTTATTGGCCAGGACGCGATGTCTTTTAGCAAATTTGGTTAACACAGAATTACAAAAACACAAGAAAGTCTGCCAGACGAGGTGCAGAAAACGAAGGATGCGGAAGATCGGCGATGCCCACGAAACGCGAAACGAGATTGTCTTTGGCAGAAACTTTCTAAGGGAATCTGGTCCCTATTTAGGATATAAACGCGTGAATAAAATCCGGAAAACTGCACGTCGGTGGGGTGCAATCGGATACAAAAATATTACGAAGAGATTAAATTTGAATAATTTACAAAATTATTAAATTTCGGCCGAAACTGGATAATTTTTTAAAATTACGCTTGTAAATCCAAAATCATCACCGAAAAAAGGGGATTTTCGATAGAAATCCCGTCTCGATGTAACATCCGTCTTTCCGACCGGATCCGCTTAATGATATTGCATAAGCGTTGCAATATCATTAAGCGTTAAAGAGAAAAAGAAAGTTTTCTGTCGGTGTTTATCGATTTAACGACATAACCACTTACCACCCCGTTATAAAGAGTTAAACGAACGGCCATGTCGGTGGAGCGTCGACGGATCTCCCTCCGGGTAAGTGTCTAATAATTCGTCGTAACGTTTAGAAATTCCTCTTATAGCCAATGACGTTCGCAACATAAAATGCAATTTTTTCGCAATTTTTTTATACAACATAAAATGACCTTTCGATAAGCGTGCGTGCCAAACAGTAGAAGTAGACGAAAGCATTGCTTATAATTAGTCCTTTGGATAAATTTATATACAAACATATTATTTGATAAAAACCTTTCTACAATCCTATTAAAATACAAAGGAAACACGGCGATTTCGCCTTCCGTCGTTAAATGTGGCAAGAGTCGATTTTCCTGTTTGCGTCATTTTGTCCTTGAACAATTGTATATTTATTTCTGGTCGAAAGAACGTTCGGATGACTGTCCGTAGTAAAACGGGCGAAGTTAAATAACTTAATTCTTAATCTTATAAAAAGAATTGAAGCGATGTAGGTCTATTTCGCTCTTTATAAAGACACATTCCCCCGTCGGTATCGCGTAAATTTTCTTGTTTTTAAGAGTAAATTGGTAAGTTTTCGTCCATACGGAATAACAAGTAAATGAAAAATGAATATTAAAATATATTGTCTAGTTAATTGTCGTGTAACGGTGTAAAGGTACGCGTAGAAATTCCGGTGGATGTCCTATTTACATAAATGTATTTGAAGGTTTGTTTGTCGTCCGTATATGCGTAACGTAAAGTTAAGATTTTGCCCGTAAGATGGAAAAAAAAATTATCGATTTTTATAAAAATACTGTATCGAAGAAAATGGCCCGGGATTATGGACAATTACTACGTAGATATCGGCAGAAACTATTGTGGGACCATAATATGGCTGTAAGGACATCTGTCAGTATCTCTAGACTACTTAGAAAACACTGAAGTTGGTTCAAAACGAGCGAGAAGTGCCAACAGAATCCTATTAGTAAACAATGACCAGAACTTCCTCAAATTTGGCACGCGTCGAAACGTAATCCTTCTCGTCACCAACGTCGCGCCAATTACGATTAAAATCATTAGATCCCTCCACGTTATGCTCTTTCGCGTTAGCATTTGACGATAGACCTAACGCAGCGCCAGATCCAATAGGTGCGAGGCCCGATTGAATTTTTTTGCGGGGCCCCTCTAACTTTAAATAACAAAATTAATTAACAGTTAATTTACATATTGAAATATGTTGTTATATCTATATCTATATATATAAATGGACGTGTGTGTCCCTATATTTCACTTTTCCGCCAAAACTACACATCACACATAAATGGTGTTTGTATGTGGTAGTAACCCCGAGTCTCCTCTATTCGTGCACTATGGTGGTTGCGTCTCGATAGCTATAAGGGTGCGGAAGATATGGGGCTGAAAGTGGTTGAAAGTGGTTCTCTATTTCGAATTTTATGTTCAAATTTGTTCGAATTTGAATTCGAACATAAAATTCGAATATTGGTTCGATTATAGAAGTATTGTAAACGTTCCAGAAACGTTGAAAATAGTTCGTTTGACTTGACGTGAACAGGAGACGTTTAGAAATAGAATCGAGTACAGGTCTCTAATTAGGGACCTAATTCTTGCATTCTGTGAAAACGGGTAAAATTGGCTATAATGTAATTATCTTAATCTTCACTATCGTTGCTTTTTAAAAACCCAGCGAAGCGGGTCCTTGCAGCTAGTTTTTAATAATAATATACCTAGATATTTATTTTTGTAACGTGTACTATTTTTTAATATATAAATTTTGATGCGCTGCGGGGCCCGTTCAAGAGCGGGGCCCGATTGGCACAAATCGCTCCAATCGCCTCAAACCGGCTCTGACCTAATACGGAGTGTTGCAAACTCCAAATGCGAATTTGAAGCGATTTACCTCGAGATAGACGAAATTGTATTTTTACACCGACCGTACGAAAAACACTTTCATTTCGATTCTATTTCTGCTGTTTAATTGAATTTCGTCTGCCATTGCCAACGACAGTTTGTAATGTATTGCCAAGCTTTACTTTTCCAGTGTACTGCATTACATAGCCCTTTGGACCTTGTACGAAATTCTTCGATACAGTAGTATATTTCTTCCCGACTTTACATCGATTCCAACAAATTAGAAGCTGTGGTGCGAGGAAAATCGGAATGTAAAAACGTCCAGCAATATCTTCTAAGTATAGGCTAATTGAAGTCGGTAGCCATCTGGTTACAATTACAGTAAAAATACAAATTAATACCCGTTCAGAATCGTTCTCTTCGGCATTTCACCCCTTTATAACAAATTAAATGGAAGTTTTCTTTGCAGAATGCCAGGGAAATAAAAGTGAAAAACCTGTTGAACCTGCTGTTGTGTATCGCTTTGGCTCAGTGTTGCACCGAGTTCTTGAGCAGATGGAAGAATGTCCCGTGTCCCAGGTTTGTTCTACGGGACACCAGAACCGATTGTCTTCTAGGCGAAAACGTTTTTGTCGCTGTTAGCGTCGACTATCTTTTCATCGATTGCTACGGAGCGGATCCGGATCGTCGGATCTTCCGGTGTTTGCAACAAACAGAAGACCTTAATTTAGTAATGCGCAATTGTTATTCCCGAAATTTTAGTTTGAGTGAATTTTTATCTGGACTCGTCATACGCAATTTGCAAATTGCATTTACCACAATCGAACCGAATTATCAAAGTTTGCACTTTGAAAAGCTGCCATTTGTCAGAAACGTATCCCTGTCCGGAATAAAAACCGCAGGAACATTCGACCTGACGTTCGATTTCCAACCCGTCATCTACTCGCTACAAATTTTCGAATATAATTTCACCTCCTTTCACCAGCCACCATTTAAAAATCTGACAAATCTGCCAATTCTGAAAATAGTATATGGAAATCTACAGCGTGTTCAAGTGGAGCTACTCCAAGAGTTGAGAAATCTCAGAATACTAACCTTGTACAATAACAGATTAAGAGACATTCCACGTGGATTCTTTAAAAATCTCACATTGTTAACATATTTAGATTTATCCGATAATCAAATCGAGAACTTCTGGGAAGATATCTTTTCCGATCTCTTCAGCCTAGAAATACTTCGGATCAAAAACAATAAACTGACGGTTCTTCCGGAAAATTTGCTCTCCTCCCTCACTCAGTTAATCGGTCTCGAAATAAGTGGAAATACAGAAATAAAAAACTTACCCAAAGGATTCTTAAGAGGCTTGACACGCTTAGAACTATTTTGGGCATCCGGATGCTCTTTGGAACGTCTGGAGGAATCTTTATTTTCAGACACCACCTCCTTGATAGACTTCTTCGTAGATTTTAATAACATTACACTTCTACCGGAAGCACTGTTTAATAACACGGAACATTTGAGTCGTTTGTTTATGACTGGAAATAAATTATCGACTTTGCCACCGCGTGTATTTTCTAACTTAAAGAGAATCGGATCATTAGACTTATCGTACAACAGACTGAACAGTTTACATAAAGATATCTTCAAGCGCTTATCAACACTGGCAATATTGCGGTTATCCGATAACGATTTGTCCTCCTTGCACGAAGATACACTTCTACCTCTTTTGAATTTGAGGATCATCGATCTATCGAATAACAACTTCGAACGTTTACCCGCAAAATATCCTTTTGGTTCTAGCAATTATTTGCAAAGTGTAAACATCAGCAACTCGAATCTGAGGACTTTTCCTAATATTGATTGGTCGAATAACAACCTGACTGAAATCGATCTATCCCACAATCAATTTCGGCAAGTCACTCTACCCGTGTTTACCAAGAAACGTACCAAAATATTGCTCAACGACAACAATATCTCCACTATCTACATCGATTATAAACAGTATTCTAACAGTTATCCCGTGTATAATGTCACAGGAAATGTCATCGAGTGCGACTGTCGAATCAGACAATTCTTGCGATTTCTTCACTCTGACGAAAACGCCGTCCGCATTTTTCCAGATTCCAGTATCCTGAGATGCAATGGACGTTCCGAAAGGAAACTTACAGAAATTTGGCCAATTTACAGTGTCTGTCCGCGGAAAGAGGGATGTCCTTCGTTTTGCGATTGTTACCTGACACTAGAAAGACGAACTGCAATCGATTGTTCTCGTAGAAATTTGTCTAATTCACCCGCGAATCTTCCTACAAATGCAACATTCGTCTTTCTGAACGACAACCACATTGCCAATTTGTCCGAAGTGGACGGGACTACGTGGAAAAACGTCACCCATCTCTATCTTAGTAACAATTCTCTGACGTCACTGAACGATTGGGTCGTTCCGGAAAATCTCCGCTATTTGGCTCTGGATGGAAACAAGTTGTCGGATTTGCCCCCTTCTGTGATGAAGCGCGTGGAAGATTCGTCGAACTTCAGCATCTTTCTTTCCAAAAACGAGTGGAAATGCGATTGTCACTCTGTCCGTTTCAAGAAGTGGTTTACGCGAAATTTGCTTAAGATCCGCGATTCCGAGAACGTAACCTGTCAAAGAGTCAATAGAGTTAACAACTCCGTAACACACGAACTAATTGAAAGTATACCGCTGGACGTGTTCTGTCTAAAGGAACCCGTGTGGCCATTATGGCAAATAATCGTTCTTACAGTTTCGGTAGCGTTGGTATTGACGTCATCAGTTCTCGTAGTTGTCTGTTACCATTACAGACTCGCTATATTGGCCTTTCTGTACAGTCGAGGCGTGTACTTGCCCTGTTGCTACAGGGTCCTCGACGAGGAGGAAAACAAGTACGACGCTTTTGTGTGTTATAATAGTTCCGATTCTGTCTTAACCATGGAGATGGTGGATCGACTGGAACCCACTTATCGCCTTTGTATTCACGAACGTGATTGGTTGGCGGGTAGCCCTATTAGCGAGAACATCGTGCATTCTGTACTTAACAGTAGAAGGACGGTGATATTGTTGTCTCGACAGTTCCTGGACAGCATGTGGTTCAGTGTGGAGTTTCGTGTGGCTTACAACAGGATGATGGAAGACCAAGCTTATCGTTTGGTTTTGGTTTTGGTGGAAGAATTGGAGAATTGGAAGGAGCTGGAGGACGATCTTCGTCGTTTGCTTTCGACGAGAACTTACTTGAAGTGGGGAGAGAAATGGTTCTGGGAAAAGTTGAAATATATTCTTCGCAAACAATAGTTGATAAAAGCAATTGGCTGGCTACTGTTAAAAGAATGGAGCCAAGTTGTTACTTGTTTCGTGATTTGTCTGCGATTTTCCGCTACATTGTCAGTGTTGTTAGTGATACCGAACACAATAAAGACGATGAATCGAAAATTTTATGTCATTTTTATATTTTTGGTTTTTTTTTTTTTATTTCGTAAGTTTACAAGTTAAAGTTAAAATAATTGAATGATGAATGAGACGGTAGTGATACTTAAATGGTACTAATATTGCTGTACAAGGGCGTAGTCAGGATTTTCTCCAGGGGGAGGCAAAAATAAGATAACGCTGTTTATTATAAAATGGTATTATTTGAACATTTGAAAACGGTAAAAGTAATTAGTTGCAACCAGAACCGCTATAAGCGGGCGTGCAAGGTGTGCACCGCACGCGGGCGGCACTTCCAGGGGGCGGCAAATCGAGCCATCGGTTACGTAATATTCAAAGTCATTGTCATAATACCCACCCGACTTATAGCATAAGAAATGTCTTCGCATGAAGAAAAAAATTCTGACCGGCGCGCAATTATTATATTCTTATTTATATTGTAGCGTTAATGCGCCTCTATTGGCATTTATCAGAATTAAGATGCAATTCGAAACGTCCGTCGGCAGGTTGAAGCATCCGGAGGCGCCCGAAAGCCAAGTATCCATATTCGTGCTCAATGACAGAAGTTGATAGGACTGGCGATAACAGGGAATCCCCACAGAGCTTCCTTCTCAATTTGTACTTGTACGCATTCGAACAGTTCTATTGCATATCAAATTGCAATTATTTTGTTAATAATTTTTCTGACATGGGTCTAAGTATAATTAATGACATTTTAACTTGGTTAGGATTTAAATCTGAAGCTTAAAGACGATTCGAGGAGTGAAACAGACATTGACGGTATTGATTTGTATGATTGAAATCTGTACTTTAAAGTTGCATTTTCCAGAAAACCAGTCTAATGATCCACAAACCCTATTACAATAACTTTTTACTAATGACTTAATATCAACATTTCCGGTGATATTGGTGTCTCGACAGTTCCTGGACAGCATGTGGTTCAGTGTGGAGTTTCGTGTAGCTTACAACAGGATGATGGAAGACCATGCTTATCGTTTAAATATTACTTACATTGCCGGTTTCAGTTGCATTCGGTGAAAGGTTTTTTTAAAGTTGAAAATTATAAAAAACTATTTAAGATCAACAATGTACCAGCAAAGACTAAGTAATTTAGCTATAGTTTTAATTGAACACGAAATCTTAGACAGCTTAGATACAAGAAAATTGATAGCAGATTTCGCAAACAAAAAGGCAAGAAAAGTTAAATTTCTGCAAATACAGTAGAGCCTCGATTATCCGACCTAATTGGGGACTGGGGTTGGTCGGATAATTGAAAGGGCGGATAACCGAAAAGTATGAAAAAATTCATTATTAATGTAGTATATTATTATATCCATGTCCNATATTCTAATATACAATAGCAATTTTTTTTTGTTTTTTTCCACGTGTAGTATAGAAAATTATAATAAGATACATAATGCGGTTATAATAAAATATTGTGCGATTATTTTCATATAATTAAAATTAATATTTATTTATTTTTTAGAGAATACGAGGGAAGCGGCGCTTCCAACGCTTCTAATGACAGCACGCCACTGATTAAGCCAAGTTGTTACTTGTTTCGTGATTTGTCCGCGATTTTAAGCCACATTGTCGGTTTTGTTAGTGATACCGAACACAATAAACACGTTGTATAGAAAATCGTGATGTCACGCCCCTATTTCTCTTCCTTTTACGTATCGTAAATTTAAAGCTAAAATAATTGAATGATGAATGAGACGGCCGTGGTACTAAAATGAGTCAGGATTTTCTCCAGGGGGAGGCAATAATAGGATAACGTTATTTATTAAAAAATGGTTTTATTTGAACATTTGAAAACGCTAAAAAATAATTAGTTTCAACGCTATTCGAACCTACCTAAATCTTATTTCTGCACTAGCCTACGGGAATTCTTTTTAAATCTTGTAAAAATTTGGCACATTTCTTCGGCATTTGACACATTTCTTCTTTTCCATCGGTTGTACCAAAGTTCAGCTTCAATCGTTCAAATTGTAGCAACTACAAAAAATTGTAGTTTTTTTTTTAAAATCCTCATACGTCATATCAAGCCATACGCGAGGGTGCAATGTAAACGATCAGAATGCGGACAAGTTCTTTTCGGAAAAACGCTGTTTCGGAGACATCATTAATGAATCTATGTACGGAATAATTAGTGATCTTCTCCAAACTGTAGGAGTCTGCCGATGGATTCGCTCGATGTTTCTGATGGCTACGCCCTTGTTGCTGTACAGAAGTCGAGAGGAAAAAACAACTGGTTAAATTTCCGAATATATAAGTAGTGTACACCTTATAAGCGGCATAAATTTAAATAACATTTATTTCTTTCGTTCTTGTTCGGGTCACGTTCGAATTTTTCCAAAACATTGGTTCGATTTAACTATTCGCTCGGGTCGGGATGACGCCAGTCAGTTTTTGAAAGAATTGACAAATTCGGATTACGCACGCGGGGACTTTCGCCTTTTTTTCCGTGGAAAAATGCTATAATTACAGGAAAAAAGAGAGAAAAAATTAATTTTCCGTTCGTTTGTCAAGCGTAAATTAACTTATGTTTTTTAGTTTTTGCAGCGAGAGCGAAAGAAATAAATATTAGTTTAGAAGTACTGTATTAAAACCTGTATCTCGCTCAACCTCGAGTGCGTTTTCTAGTCATTAACAATGTGATCTGTTAATACGCATTTAAATGAGAAAGTTTAATTTAACTAATTACATATTCTGTACATCGAATTCCAAATAAAACCATCTTTACGCCAATCTCTCTTTCTCGTAACAAAACACGGAAAAATATTCTAATCGCGTTCAATTGGATTCTCCCAGGTTTTGCAAATCTCCGTGTTTCGAGATCCCCGAATCCCCCGAAAAGTGAAAAATTCCACGTACGTGTATAGACGTCTCCCCCGTTGAATATCTGGTAATAGGTAAAGATTAAGAAACGAAATTCTACACGGTAACTTCCATATACGGGCTATCGAGGCTATTAAATTTTAGAGTCGAGTGTCGTATCTCCTAGGCTGGCACTTAAAATTTTATTCGCTGTTGGCATCTATCTGTTTATTATTTAGCGCTAACTTGTAGTCTGCCTAGGCAATGCTTAGGGGGACTTAGGCTTTAGAGGGACCAAGGGCGCCGATGACGGCATCTCGGAGGGAAATGGAGAATCTAATATACACCCAGTTGCTCTTTTATTTACGTCTAGTTAATTTAGATGATACTTCCTTTTATCTACAGTTACAAATAATCAATTAATGCTAAAGTTCATAATAACTATAATTCCGAACACTAAGAACTCTAGCCAACAATGCCGGCACCACTTCTCCGTCTCCTGCAGCGGTCATAAAAAATTCCAAGTAAAACGTCTTATTTAGCACGGAAATTAATGCGATAATAAAAGTTCAACGTAAATATTACGTCACAGATAATACTTCCAACGACCGACGCACCGAAAACAAATCACCGATGCAAACGGCGGAATGGAAACAGACGTGTTGGACTGCAGTACTGTATTTTATAATTACATACCGTACGTAGTGGCCACATAATTGTACCGTACAGTACAAACTATTAATACTTTACAGGCTGGAACGTGTTCGAGTAAAATAGATATGTTCGGAAAGTGACACGTTTTACTTTCGTTTCAGATGATGCAGAAAATCTTCTTGGTTCAATTGGTGTTCCTTTGCACGGCAGTACAGGGATGGTTCTNGAGTCTTCTATTCCAACAACAACCGCCAACACATTTCGGGCATCTGTACGGCCACTGTCGACATCAGGGACTTGTATTCGTACGGTATCATCAATTTGAGGAAAAGGAAATGGCGAAGAATTTGGCGACAGACTGTCGCCTCTCCGTCGACATCGGCTTCTCGGGTGTCATTTCGACCTCTACCAAAACTTATCTGTGTTTGTCGACATACGCCGGCGATTGTTCGAATGTATAATAATTTAACTAAATATTCGGTCTTTCACCGATGTATTTTGTATGTGTCGACATTCACCGGAGAATATCGACATTCACTAATTTCGGTCTTTCACAGTAACATATATAAAAGACTGTTTTTCTAAGTAATCTAGAATCTAGCTGCAAGGACCCGCTTCGCTGGGTTTTTAAAAAGTAACGATAGTGAAGATTAAGATAATTACATTATAGCCAATCTTACCCGTTTTCTATTTCTATGGTCCCGATTCGATTTCTGAACGTCTCCTGTTCACGTCAAGTCAAACGAACTATTTTCAACGTTTCTGGAACGTTTACAATCGTTCTATAATCGAACCAATATTCGAATTTTATGATCGAATTTAATTCGAACAAATTCGAATAAAAAATTCGAAATAGAAAGCCACTTTCAACCACTTTCAAGCCCACATCTCCCGCACCCTTATAGCTATCGAGACGCAACCACCCCTATGCACGAATGAAGACTTGGGGCTACTACCACATACAAACACCATTCATGTGCTATGTGTAGTTTTGGCGGAAAAGTGAAATATAGGGACACGCACGTCCATTTATATATAGATAAAAATGGACGTGTGTGTTACTATATTTCACTTTTCAGCCAAAACTACACATAGCACATGAATGGTGTTTGTATGTGGTAGTAGCCCCGAGTGCACTATGGTGATTGCGTTTCGATTGCTATAAGGGTGCGGGAGATATGGGCTTGAAAGTGGTCGAAAGTGGAAGATTTTCTATTTCGATTTTAACGAACCAATTCGAATTCGAAAATTTTTAATCTTCACTATCGTTACTTTTTGCCTAGCGAAGCGGGTCCTTGCAGCTAGTCATTAATAAATTTATGTACAGAATAATTAGTGATCTTCTCCAAACTCCCTAGGAGTCTGCCGATAGACTCGCTCGATGTGTCTGACGTTTTATGACTCGCGGCATATTTAAATCTATTCCGAGATGCTCGGCGTTTGTTTCGGCCTCTGTTATGACACTTTTACTTTCGACAACCGCATTTCCACGATATTTTCTCACCATATCTGTGACGTTTTTAATACGATTCGCGCATCGAAGTAAGTGCGATTGCAACGTTTAAATGGGGAACAGAAGGAACTGAAACTTTAATAATGCAAAAGTTATTTTTAATAATATCTGGTAACGCTAGACTCAATTTTATTTTAAGTAATTATTGCAAAAATCTACAAAAGTAAATAAAACTACGCATCCTGTAGACCTAGATCTTGTGGTACGAAACTTTTCTAAAGATGTAGGGGAACATCGCCCGGAACGATACAAATTTTGGCCAATGAAGCGAAGATCGCGTTGAAAATTCTTTCGGTGAAGCCGGAAAAGTTACGCAACTCGCTGCTGGATCTTTTGCGCTTTAAATCAATTCGTGCAATATAAAATATTGAACGTTAATACGAAAAATGTAAAACAGTAAAAGAACCTAACGCAGCATTAAATTAATTTACCCTTTTATATTAACAAACATTTATACTAAAGTCTTCCTATTTGACTTAAGTCTTTGATACAGCATTTCTTTATAATCGAGTAGTTGCCCGGCAACACAAACACCGAAATCGGCGAAACGAGCTAAATTGTAATCTGACTACGCAAGGTTTAGGGGGACTCGATGCTAAGGGCGCAGTGGCGTAACGTAGTGGGAGCGGCAGGGGCGGCACTTTTAGGGGACGGCAAAATTTCACATTAAATAATAATAATATCTTGTAAAAATTTGAACCATTTCATTTTATATTTTTGTCGCACCTACGATTCGGACCGATTGAAATGAGCGAGGAATTTTTCATTACTTATCCCGTGAAAAAACTGAATTTTAGTCTTTTAAACTGAGATATCTAAATAAGGGGAGGCGAAATTTTCCTCCGCCCCGGGCGGCTGACACCCACGCTACGCCACTTAAAGTGCGCGTATCACGGGGCATCTCGGAGGGAAAAGGAGAATGTAATATACACCAACTTGTTCTTTTACTTACGCATAGTTAGTTTAAATGATACCTCTTTTTAGCAACAGTTACAAATAATCAATTAATGCTAAAGTTCATAATAACTATAATTCCGAACACTAAGAACTCTAGCCAACAATGCCGGCACCACTTCTCCGTCTCCTGCAGCGGTCATAAAAAATTCCAAGTAAAACGTCTTATTTAGCACGGAAATTAATGCGATAATAAAAGTTCAACGTAAACATTACGTCACAGATAATACTTCCAACGACCGACGCACCGAAAACAAATCACCGATGCAAACGGCGGAATGGAAACAGACGTGTTGGACTGCAGTACTGTATTTTATAATTACATACCGTACGTAGTGGCCACATAATTGTACCGTACAGTACAAACTATTAATACTTTACAGGCTGGAACGTGTTCGAGTAAAATAGATATGTTCGGAAAGTGACACGTTTTACTTTCGTTTCAGATGATGCAGAAAATCTTCTTGGTTCAATTGGTGTTCCTTTGCACGGCAGTACAGGGGTGGTTCTTCGTCAGCGACCGATTTGGTTTCATTACTCAAAGAGTGAATCGAAGGGTAGAATGCGGATCGAACGTTACTTCTTACATCAGCGACTACGACAGTGCCATTCACGTGGTGTGTCGAGGAAACACTTTCGACGCCGAACAGATTCGTGTGTGCACTAATTTTACTCACTTCGCTTCCGTGGTGTTAAGAGAATGCCTCCTTCCCTCTTCCGACGTCGGAACTTCCCTGGGAGATAAAAGTGTTCGGCATTTCTTTTTGATTTCCGAAGACGTTCCACCGAATTCGCGTGTCACCATCAAGAACCTACCGAATCTCCGCCACATCACTTTATACTATATGCAAAACGTCACGTACACTTTACTGGAGTTACGCAACGTAGAAAGAATCAATGTGTTGCGCGTGATGACGGAAAAATTTCCGAAGGCATTACTCAACGGTCTTCCCTCGTTAAAACAAATTTACGTAGTCTTAGGAAGAATAAGAAGTTTTCCAGAAGATGCATTTCGTGGTTTGAGTAGACTCAAATCTTTATACCTCTTCGACAATCGTTTAGAGGATCTTCCGGAAACTCTTTTCTACGAATTGAAATCTCTAGAGGAACTTAATTTATCCAGAAACTTGCTTACCGTTCTTCCTCCCGCTATATTTAGAGGCTTGACGAGTCTTAAAAAGCTGTTTTTGAACGATAATCGCTTAAATACTCTTCCCCCTTCCTTGTTTGCAGATAATTTTAATTTGGTCGTTCTGAACATGGACAGCAACAGCTTCGGTTCTCTACCGGAAATGCTATTGCAAAACGTCTCGCAATTACTGTCTTTCTTTGCTTGCGACTGCAATATCAGTGAATTGCCACCGAAGATATTTTCCTCTTGTTATGACTTATACAAAGTTCGAATATGCGGAAATCGAATCGATCGTTTACACCCTGATTTGTTTGAAAATAACCCGTATATTGAACAAATAGATTTACACAACAACCGATTGCACGAATTACCTTCCACCGTGTTCAGTAGAAACACACGGCTGTCGAAACTGGATTTAAGCAATAATCTTCTGACCAAAATTCCATTCGAAGTGTTTGACGACATTCAAAATATTGAAGTATTGTCTTTAACGGGAAACAGAATAACGAAGATAGAAGAGGGAAAGTTTGAAATTTTGAAGAATCTGAAAGTATTGTATCTGGATGAAAATCCTCTGGGCTCTTTACCGAGTCCGAGACCGTTCGGAAGATTGCCCAGTTTGACAGAATTGGCGCTTTCCAACGCCTCCTTCACAGAGTTTCCCCGAATCGACTGGACTGCGTATAACATCGCGCGGCTCAGTTTGACACAAAATCGTCTGTCGATTCTTCGCACCGAAGACCTCCCTCCGGATAATCACTCTGTAATTTTATTGATGGACAATGACATCACCACAGTCGCGGGAAAAATTACCAGGAATATGAATAACGTCACTCTCTTTGGAAACCCCTTCCGGTGTGACTGCGCTTTGAGGAATTTCGTCGAAGAAGTTCAGTTTTTGGAAAACTGTCGATCGCTGCTCTGCGATTCTCCTTCTGACTTAAGGAACAAGACTTTCCAGGAATTGATTCCTTCCTACGTGGTGTGTCCCATTGTAGAACATTGCCCACCGAAGTGCCGCTGTTACTTATATAAAGGCTTTTCGGTGATAGTAAATTGTTCCTTCTCCAATATTTCCCACGCTCCTGCAATACTTCCCGAAAACACCACAATCGTTCACCTGGAACACAACTCTCTTTCCGCAATAAAAATTACAGACAGTTGGTCTGGAGTGGATGAACTGTACTTGGATTACAATCGTTTAAATCCCTCCGAGCATTGGAGATTTCCTTCTTCGTTGAAATTTCTCACTCTTCGATACAATAGTCTACAAGATTTTCCTGCAAAATTTTTGCAATACGTAAGTGATTCTTCTTACATTCGAGTGGATATTAGAAACAACGCATTTTGGTGCAATTGTTCTTTCAAACCCTTTAAATTGTGGTTGAATCGCAACGTTCATAAGATAGTGGAAGCCGAAGAGGTAAAGTGCAGTAGATTGTTGTCGGAGAACAACACCGTTGTCGTGCCTTCCATATTGAATTTTCCGGATGATGCGTTTTGTTTGCCTCCTTCGATGGTAACGAACGTTCCTATAATCGTTTCCGGTTTCGTTGTCTGTCTGTTAGGAATATTAACAATGGTGTTCGCTTTCTTCTTTCTGAAGTACAGAAACACCATCTTGGCTTACGTGTACGTGCATTTTCCTTTGTTGTACTGCTGCAAGATTTCCGAACTGGACAAAGATAAAGCGTTCGATGCCTTCATTTCTTATTCCGGCATTGACAGAGACATCATCATGTGTTTGTTGGAAGAACTGGAAGATAATGCCCCATTCTTTAAGCTGTGCATCCATGAGCGCGATTGGATACCCGGTTATGACGTAATATGTCAGATAGAAGCTTCGATTAGAAACAGCAAGAAGACGATATTGCTCCTGTCCGAAGAATTTCTGAACAGCGTGTGGTGTCAAGCGGAGTTTCAAGCGGCCTTGGTACAGTCCTTGGAGGATAAGATGGAAAGGATAATTTTCGTATTGAAGGATACTTCGGTGTGCGACGTAGTTCCCGCGGATATGCGCGAGTTGCTACTTAGCAGGACCTACCTGGTGTGGGGCGAAAGGTGGTTTTGGGAGAAGTTGAGATACGCCTTACCTCGTTACTCGACTGATAAACCGTTACATCATCGAGTTCACGATGTAGATAGAATGATCGCGGAATTAAGAAGCGAAAGTGTACTTTGATTTGTGATATTATATTTATTTATAACAAATATATTTATAATAATGCGCATAGAATCTTTAGTTTTTAAGGTAAGAAAAATATNCATCATCGAGTTCACGATGTAGATAGAATGATCGCGGAATTAAGAAGCGAAAGTGTACTTTGATTTGTGATATTATATTTATTTATAACAAATATATTTATAATAATGCGCATAGAATCTTTAGTTTTTAAGGTAAGAAAAATATAAAATGAAGTGATATTTTGTATATGGCGTAAAGTTTCAGACCCGAACATTTATAGGCCTATACAAATTGTAATGCAAAACGTCGAGATGCTTAGATTTCTCCCGAGAGAAAATTAAAATAATAAAGATGTTATTTTATTTTTACATATTTATTATTTACATATTCATTATAATTAATGTAATTTTCTTTCTCTCCTCGCGTTCTGCTTTTGTTTTACTTATTTTTTATTGTTTGTTTTGTTGATTTTAATTTCAGATGCTTGTGAGAGGCCAACCTGTTCACAGTGTCTTTTTTGAGAAATAAAAATAAATTAAATTATTCGCATTCTGACTTGAGGAACAAGACTTTCCAGGAACTAATTCTTTCCTACGTGGTGTGTCCCGTTCTAAAACATTACCCACCGAAGTGTTGCTGTTACCTATACAAAGGTTTCGGTCATGGCGAATTGTTCTTTCTCCAATATTTCCCACGCCACTGCAATACTTCGATCGTAACGAGCGTTCCATCTCATCGTTTCTGGTTCCGCTGTCTGTCTGCTAGGAATATTAACAATGGTGTTCGTTTCCTTATTTCTGAAATACAGAAAAGCCATCTTGGCTTACGTGTACGTGCATTTCCTTCGCTGTACTGCTGCAAGATTTCCGAACTGGACAAAAATAATGCGTTCGATGCCTTCTTTTCTTATTCCGACAGCGACAGGGATATCGTCACGTGTTTGGAGGAGGAACAACCTCTTTCTTTAAGCTGCGCATCCACCAGCGCCATTGGGTGCCCGATTGTGACGTAAAATGTCAGATAGAAGCTTCGATTCGAAATAGGGATAAAACGATATTGCTACTGTCTACGGAATTCTTCAACAGCGTGTGCTGTCCGGCGAAGTTTCGAGCGGATTTGGTGAAGACTTTCAAACCCAAAATAGAAAGGATAATTTTCGTATTTAAGTTTAATTCTGTGTGTGACGCCATTCTCGCGGATACGCGCGAGTTTGTACTCCGCGGGACCTATGTTGGGAGCGGTCGAGACCCGCGTTATCTCGTTATTCGAGTCATAAATCGTTACATTATCGAGTGGACGACGCGAGTGCAAAAATTTCGGAATGAAGAAGCGAAAGTGCTGTTTGATTTGTAATGTGAAAATTTACAATAACGCGCAACGACTGTGCAATTTTTAAGACACGAAAAGTATAAATTGAATCGTCATTTGAAACTCGATTAACTAATGCAGACGGTGAGAGAAACGTAAAGATGCTTAATTTAAATAATACATTAGCTTTCTTCTCGGTGAAAAATAAAATCATGAAAACACGATATAAATTCAGTTAAAATAATAATATTTGTTTAAAGATATTAATTATTTTGTAAGTGTAAACACACTTTTTGATCGAAACTTTAATTAGAATCGCTGACGTCAGCCAACGACAACTTCTTCTGAAAGATGGAATTCACTATAGCACTGTATTGTTTGAGTGTAACAATCCGCCATTTTGAATCTCAACGTTTACGAATTTTTCATACTTTTCGCGTAAAAATTTCATGAATGATTTTGAAAATTTTTCTTCCTTTACATTTAGAAAGTTAACGGTTAATTTTAAAAAATAAAAAGTGACGTAAAGATTAATAAAATAACCGTATTTATAAAAAATGAACTAAAGATTATTATTACAATACTTTTTTATATACGTGTCAAATTCCTAAATCTACACGCAATACAAATGTTACCTCCAGGATTTAGGACTTTAGTGTTTAGTCGCGTAAAGAGAAATTTCGCGAAATAAGTATCATTTGTGAATGTTGTAATACAATAAAATATTAAATTTTCCGTCGTTTAGTCTTTCGTGTATTTTCAAACTACCGGGACTTTTCATTTCGCGAAGGAGAACCTGGTGCACTCGTATAATACAAAAATTCTTTCTTCTCGATACAAATTCTAATTCCACGCCTTTCGTAATTCGTTCTTAATTAACACCACTTTTACTTTTCGGGTGTTACGTTTACGTTACGAGGAATCGTGTCAAAATTGACCCTCCGATATTTTTGTAAATCTCCACGTTGTCAGACTTTCTGAACTAAGAAAAAGATGAAAAAACGGCAAAAATATGCGTGTTTACGTATGTATGTATTTGTATGAATGAGCGTGTATTTGTGTTGGCATCTATTTACTATAAGAACGAAAGTATAAAGAAAAACCTTTGAAGTTTGATAAAGGAAAATCCGGAGATATAAACATTAGAAATGAAGGTCAAATACTTTCCAGATGTAGAAAGTGATTATAGTAAATACTGTTATTCATAATTTTTAATCATTACTCTAGTTTCTATCGATACTTACTTCTTCTATCGTCTGTATTTAAAAAAATAAATACATAATTCCTCACCTAACGACTGATTCTCCGAGAAATAGTGATTGTCTTTATTACGTAGAATTGATTTTTGAAATGTGTATTGTACGTCGTCACAGACGAGACGTAAATATTGTTGTACAACGAGAAAATTTGAATCGCGAAGAAAAACATATGTTATCATCCGAAACAGAACGTATCAAATTACGTCGATCGCGGTACGTTATCACCCGACATTCCAACCAGACTAATGAAAGCGGAAGGGACGTCACTAGCAGCGGGTTTGTTCCACATCACCTAGAAAACAAGGCCGTGGAGCTAAAAGATCACCTACACATTGGTGATGGGCACAATATGCAATATTTGCATATTTTTTAAATATGTGAGGCCAGGAACCCACATATACAGAATGATTATAATTAAAGTTCCCTACTCAGACCTGTCTGGAGTCCGGTCTTTTATGTATTTTGATGAAAATTGGTATAAAAGTTATATGGACCATGGGAAAAACGAAAATGCAGAAGAATAGGTAGTTGAAATTTCTACCACTAGGTGAAAAAATGGCGCGTGAAGAACAAGAAACAAAATGGAAACACGCAAAAGGTTTTTATTCGCAACATTTGTTCATGCGCAATGCATTGCGTCAATTACATGTTCAAAGTGCTTTACAGCGTGTTTAACAGTAGCCCGATAGGTTTCTTGAGAAATTGCAGCAATATGGCGTGTTACGCTTGCTTTCGATTCGAGCAGAATCTGTATGGTTGTGGAATATCTGAAAGATCGTGTTTACGGAGGATGCACGCGAACTCTGCCCGAATTGAAAGGTTCGGACTAAGTTTCCAACGATACAAATTGCGACTGCGTATGTAACGTATCAAAGTGCAGATTCATTGTTTAATTCCGCAACCATTCTATCAACCTCCTGAACTTCATGACGAAGCAGTTCGTTACGCGTGTAATGAGGTAACGAGTATCTCAACTTCTCCCAAAACCATCTTTCGCCCCACAGCAAATAAGTTCTGGTGAGGAGCAACTCGCGCATATCCGTGGGTATCATGTCACACACCGACTTGTCTACCAACACGAGAATTATCCTCTCCACCTTATCCTCTAGAGACTGCACCAAGGCTGCTTGAAATTCTGCTAGGCACCAAACGCTGTTTAAGAACTCTTTGGATATAAGCAAAATAGTCTTCCTGCTGTTTCTAGTCGAATTTTCTATTTGAGATATTATGCTATGACCCGGAATCCAATCGCGTTCGTGGATACACACCTTGAAGAAGGGGGGTTTTGCTTCCAGATCCTTTAACAGCAACATCGCGATGTCTCTGTCGCTGACGCAATAAGAAATGAAGGCATCGAACGCTTTATCTTTGTCCAGTTCAGAAATCTTGCAGCAGTACAACAAAGGAAAATGCACGTACACATAAGCCAAAATGGTGTTTCTGTATTTCAGAAAAACGAAACATAATAACAATATTAAAATTACTACGAAAGATACAACGGAACCGGAAACAATTAGAGAAATATTCGTCGTGATCGAAGGAGGCAAACAAAACGCATCATCCGGAAAATTCAATATGGAGGACACGATAAAGGTGTTGTTCTCCGACAACAATCTACTGCACTTTACCTCTTCGGCTTCCACTATCTTATGAACGTTGCGATTCAACCACAATTTGAAGGGTTTGAAAGAACAATTGCACCAAAATGCATTGTTTCTAATGTCCACTCGAATATAAGAAGAATCACTTACGTATTGCAAAAATTTTACAGGAAAATCTTGCAGACTATTATATTGAAGAGAAAGAATTTTCAAGGAAGAGGGAAACGTCCATTGCTCAGAGGGATTTAAACGATTGTGGTCCAAGTACAGTTCATCTACTCCAGACCAACTGTCTGTAATTTTTATTGTTGAAAGAGAGTTGTGTTCCAGGTGAACGATTGTGGTGTTTTCGGGAAGTATTGCTGGAGCGTGGGAAATATTGGAAGAAGAACAGTTGACCATGACCGAAAAACCTTTATATAAGTAACAGCGACACTCCGGTGGACAGTTTTCTACAACGGGACACACCACGTAGGAAGGAATCAGTTCCTGGAAAGTCTTGTTCCTCAAGTTAGAAGGAGAATAGCAGAGCAGCGATCGACCGAATCCGGAAAACTGAACCTCTTCGATATAGTTCCTCAAAGCGCAGTCACACCGTAAAGGGTTGCCTAAAAGAATAACATTATTCATATTTCTGGTGATTTTCCCCTCGACTGTGGTGATATTATTGTCCATCAATAAAATTACAGAGCGATTATCCGGAGGGAGGTCTTCGGTGCGAAGAATCGACAGACGATTTTGTGTCAAACTGAGCAGCGCGATGTTATACGCAGTCCAGTCGATTCGGGGAAACTCTGTGAAGGAAACGTTGGAAAGCCCCAGATTTGTCAAACTGGGCAATCTTCCAAACGGTCTCGGACCCGAAACTGATCGAATGGGGTTATTATTCAGATTCAATACTTTGAGATTCTTCAAAAGTTCAAACTTTCTCTCTTCTATCTCAGTTATTCTGTTGGCTGCTAAAAACAATGCTACAATAGTTTGAATGTTTTCAAACACTTCGAAGGGAATTCCGGTTAAGAGATTGTTGCTTAAATCCAGTTTTGCCAGCCGTTTGTTACTACGGAACACGTTGAAAGGTAATTCTTGCAAACGGTTCTTATGTAAATAAATATCCTGGATGAACGCATTATTTACAAACAAATCGGGGTGCAGACGATCGATTCGATTTTCGCAAATTCGAACTTCGATTAAGTCGTAACAAGAGGAAAATATCTTCGATGGCAATTCACTGATGTCGCAGTTACAGGCACCAAAACGTTGCAATTTTGAGGCGTTTTGCAATAAAATTTCCGGTAGAGAACCGAAGCTGTTGTTGTTCATGTTCAGAAAGACCAAATTAAAACTATCTGCAAACAAGGAAGGGGGAAGAGTATTTAAGCGATTGTCGTTTAAGGTAAGCGTTTTAAGGTTTGTCAGCCCTCTAAATATGGCGGGAGGAAGAAACGTCAGCAAATTTCTATGCAGACGTAATTCCTCCAGAGATCGCAATCCACTTAAAAGGGTCTCCGGAAGATCCTCTAAACGATTGTCGAAGAGATTTAAAGAATTCAGTCTATTCAAACCTCGAAATGCATCTTCTGGAAAACTTCTTATTCTTCCTAATACCACGTAAATCATTCTTAACGATGGGAGAGCATTGAATAATCCGTTCGGAAATCTTTCCGTCATCACGCGCAAAACATCAATCCTTTCTACGTTGCGTAACTCCTCTAAAGTGTACGTGACATTTTCCATATGATATAAAATGATATCGCGAAGATTCGGAAGGTTCTTGATGCTAACTCGCGAATTCGGTGGAACGTCCTCGGAAATCAAAAAGAAATTCTCGACTCTTTCGTCTCCTAGAGAAGTTCTGACATCGGGAGAAGAAAGGACGCAGTCTCTTAACACCACGGAAGCGAAGTAGCTAAAATTAGTGCACGCACGAAGCTGTTCGGCGTCGAAAGTGTTTCCTCGACACACCACGTAAATGGCTCGGTCTAAGTAGTTGACAAAAGAAGTAACGTTCGATCCGCATTCCACCATTCGATTCATTTCTGTAACGATGTAACCAAAACGGTCGCTGACGATGATCTGCCCTTCGACTGACGCGCAAAGGAACACCAATTGAGCCAAGAAGATTTTCTGCGCCATCTGAAACGAAATTAATATATGGGGTTACTGTTTGAACAGGTCTATTTTATTTAAATACGTCCGAGCCAATAAAATTTTAGTGGAATTCTGGATGCGGCAAAACTTGCATACGAATCTGTAAACTCTTTGAGTGGCATAATAGATAGCGCCAATACGGGATGAAAGAAATAAGCGTTCCGATATCTCAATTTTCCACATTGTACTTCAGCAGCTGGATAGGGAGGCTCTAAAACACTGTGAATTCTGTGTCAGTTCTAATGATGTTCTTAAACTGACTTCATTTTGGAATGACTTTCTTAAGTTTTAGAAAATGTTAATAAGGTCGTGTTAATAAAGCGGAATATAATCGACGTCGAATTAAACCAAAAACACCCGTTCGTGAAATGTAACAATCCTATGCCGACGTAAAGGTATTGAGTATCACCACCAGACTTTATGATTCTTTACTAGTTATATGGAACTCAAATACCTGAAAGACCGGGCACTACAAAGAACTCGAGGAAACTCGTCTATGTCACCAATAGTCGTACACGACTCAATGGTTAAAGAAGAAAACTAGTTATAGATACCTTTAGGACCGGTTATAATTGGAGCCAAAATTTTTCTACAAAAGCCGTGGCGCTGGAATCTCGACTGAGAGAATGCCCTATCAGAAACCTTCAACTATAAATACATCAAATTTTGTCATCTTTAATCTTCCTTGAAGACCTTGGAAGTTTGAAGATTGCTAGATATATTTCACAGACTCCTTTCAGAGGGACGTCTTGGTAGGATATGCAAATTCCTCGCGGATATGCAAATTCCTCATTAGCGTATATGCAATGTATAAAGGAAGATTGTACTAGCAAACCACGACGTTTTGATAGTAAATGTCGTGTTGCTTCTGTTAATGGACTGTAATCATGAAGACTTCGCGCAAAGTACAATTAGCATGCTGAGTACAACCAAGAAGAAAACGAACTAACAAACTCTCCAACACACTTGAAAACTTTTAAATCTTAACGGCTAAAGATAGAAGGCGGAACTCGAGATGCCAAGAAGGATAAAACGGTAGATTAATACGATGGTAGTATCTATTTACAATTTATCATGTTAATATTTAATATTGTATGAATTGCAGTATATTGAAATATTGAAAAATCCTAGTTACAAGCCTATCTCGAGCGGGATCGGGAAAATTTTTTCTGGTTATTAGTATTTACAATTTTTTTATTTATAAAACCTATCCCTACCCTCAAAATTAAGCCTTTTGCCATTTTATAATAGTTAAATTTATAAAAATAGTTTTAATAAAATATTGTAACAGATGGCGCCACCAAAGGTTGCAGGGACAGTTAAACAACTCGTTACTATAATTCTTTAATACCAGTTTTGGATTCGTGGGCACAGTTAATGAAATATGGCAAAGTTTCATCAAACTGGATCGAATATATTTTTAGAAAAAAACACAATTCTCTCTGCTATGTAAAAACGGAGAGAGAGGTTCCAGCAAGTAAACATGTCTTCGTATAAAAATTTGCGCCATAGAAAATGTAATCAGTAAACTGAAAATTTGTCATTTAACCTTAAATGAACGGGAAATTCATCTTTTGTCTTCCTTTATCTGCAGTTAGAACAGGTCACAAAGATTTAAAAAAAGACATCCCACTTACGTCTGTTCTTACATAAACTGACTTACGTTGTCTTGACCCGATAAAATGACTAAATTAATCTGCTATCTTCTATTTGTAATCTAAAGATCACCCGAACTATAAACAAAGCATTAAAGATTATTCAAATTTATACCGGTAAAAGGTGTGTAGTATTTATATACTTGGAAATGTAACCAGTTGATTTTTCGAGTCAATGTCTATGCTGCCATACAGGTCTATTGTAGTGAAGTAGCCGTATCTCTCGCCGTTCCTTTATTTTAACTTCTAAATTTACGATACCAAAAAGGATGAAAAATAGAAAAATGGCATCACGACTTTCTATAAACCGTGTTTATTATGCTCCATAACACTGACACAACAAAACAACTTGGCTTGTTATTTGAAGAGCAACCATTCAACTGATTTTTTTCATCTATTGTCTTCGAAGAATATATTTCAATTTTTCCCAAAACCATTTCTCTCCCCACTTTAAATAAGTTTTGGTTTTCAGCAAACGACGAAGATCCTCCTCCAGCTCGTTCGAATTCTCCAATTCATCCACCAAAACCAACACTAGATGATGAATTTGATCTTGCATCATTCTGTTGTACGCTACACGAAATTCAACAGTAAACCACATGCTGTCCAGAAAGTTTCGAGACAACAATATCACCGTCTTTCTACTGTTAAGCACGGAATACACGATGTTCTCGCTAATAGGGCTACCCGCTAACCAATCACGTTCGTGAATACAAAGGCGATAAGCGGGTTCGAGCCGATCCACTATCTCCATGGTTAACAGAGAATCGCAACTATTATAACACACAAACGCGTCGTATTTCTTTTCCTCTTCGTCGAGGACCCTATTCCAACACGGTAAGTACACGTCTCGACTGTATAGAAAGGCCAATATAGCGAGTCTGTAATGGTAAGAAACCGCTATAAGAACTGCTAACATCAACAATAACACTACCGAAACTGTAAGAACCATCACTTTCCATAAAGGCAACACGGGTTCTTCTAAACAGAACACATCCAGCGGTGTACTTTCTATTAGCTCATGTCTTACGGAATTGTTAACCCTATTGACTCTCTGGCAGGTTACGTTCTCGGAATCACGGATCTTAAGCAAATTCCGCGTAAACCACTTCTTGAAATGGACAGAATGGCAATCGCATTTCCACTCGTTTCTGGAAAGAAAGATGCTGAAGTTCGTCGAATCTTCTACGCGCATCATCAAAGAAAGGGGCAAATCCGACAGTTTGTTTCCATCCAAAGCCAAATAGCGGAGATTATCCGGAACGACCCAATCGTTCAGTGACGTCAGAGAATTGTTACTAAGATACAGATGGGTGACGTTTTGCCACGTAGTCCCATTCAGTTCAGACAGGTTTACAATGTGGTTGTCGTTCAGATTGACAAATGTTGAATTGACAGGAAGATTCGCGGGCGGATAAGACAAATTTCTACGAGAACAATCGATTGTACTTTGTCCTTCTAGTGTCAGGTAGCACTCGCAAAACAAAGGACATCCCTCTTTCCGCGGACAGACACTGTAAATGGGCCAGATTTCTGTAAGTTTCCTTTCGGAACGTCCATTGCATCGCATGATATTGGAATCTGGAAAAATGCGGATGGCGTTTTCGTCAGAGTGAAGAAATCGCAAGAACTGTCTGATTCGACAGTCGCACTCGATGACGTTTCCCGTGACGTTATACACTGGATAACTGTTAGAATGTCGTCGATAGTCAATGTAGATGGTGGAGATGTTGTTGTCGTTGAGCAATATCTTGGTGCGCTTCTTGGAAAACACGGGTAGAGTGACTTCCCGAAATTGATTGTGGGATAGATCGACTTCTGTCAGGTTGTTATTCGACCAATCAATATTAGGAAAAGTCTTCAGATTTGAATTGCTGATGCTTACACTTTGCAAATAATTGCTAGAACCAAAAGGATATTTTGCGGGTAAACTTTCAAAGTTGTTATTTGATAAGTTTATCTCCCTCAAATTCAAAAGAGGTAGAAGTGTATCTTGGTGCAAGGAGGACAAATCGTTATCGGATAATCGCAACACTATCAGTGTTGATAAGTGCTTGAAGATATCTTTATGTAAATGGTTCAGTTTGTTTTGTGATAAGTGTAAGACTCCGAGTCTCGTTAGGTTAAAAAATACACGCTGTGGCAAAGTCGATAATTTATTTTCATTCATATACAAAATTCGCAGATTTTCCATGTTATTAAACAATATTTCCGGGACACGTGTAATATTGTTACAATCTAGAATGAGGTATTTTAAAGATCTTGTGTCTGAAAATAACGATTCCTCCAGATGTACCAAAGAGCATCTGGATGCCCAAAGTTGTTCTAAGCGCGTCAAGCCTCTTAAGAATCCTTTGGGTAAGTTCGTTATTCCAATATTATTACTCATTTCGAGAATCGTCAGTTGTGAGAGGGAAGAGAGCAAATTTTCCGGGAGAACCGTCAGTTTATTGTTTTTGATCCGAAGCTCTTCTAGGCTGAAAAGATCGGAAAAGAGATCTTCCGACAGATTCTCGATCTGATTATAGGATACATCCAGATAATTCAACAATGTGAGATCTTTAAAGAATCCACGTGGAATCTCTTTTATTCTGTTATTGTACAAGGTTAGTATTTTGAGATTGTTCAGGTTTTGGAGCAAATTCTCCTGAAGATACTCCAGATTTCCATCTACTATGTGCAAAATTGGAAGATTTGTCAGGTTTATAAATGGTGGCTGCGTAAAGGAAGTGAAATTGTATTTGAATATTTGTAATGCGTAGATGACGGGTTGGAAGTTTAATGTCAGATCGAATGATCCCTCGGTTCTTATTCCGGACAGAGATATGTTCCTGACAAATGGCATCTTTTCGATGTGCAATCTGTTATAATTCTGTTCGACCGTGGTGAATGTAATTTCCAAGTTGCGTATGACGAAACCAAATAAAAATTTATTGATACTAAAATTTTGATAATAACAATTGCGCATTATGAACACGGTGTTTTCTGTCTGTTGCAAACACTGGATGATACGACGATCCGGAATTCTCCCGTAGCAATCGATTAAAAGAAAATGAACGTTAACGGCAACCATAACGTTTTCGCTTCGAACACAAACGGTTCTGGTGTCCCACGAAAGAAAACGGGGACACGTGACATTCTTCCATCCGTTCCAGACGTCGTTGCAACACTGAGCCAAAGCGAAACAGACGAATAAGTTGAACAAGTTCTTCATTTTTATTTCCGTGGCATTCTGCAAAGAAAACTTCCATTTAATCCGTTTTGTAGGAATGACACGCCGAGAAGAAAGAGTCTAAGTGAAATTAATTTGTATTTTTTCTAAATAATTTTAAAGAGATGGCTAATGCCGTAAATTATACGTCGTTCATCACACATTCTTATCCGTCTTCAGCGCTTTCCAAGTCTTCTGGCGACAAAAAGTAATAACGAGTGTCTTTACATCCCTATTATCGTCACAATAGCTTGCGACAATTTTCCTCCATACTGCTTTGAAGGTCAATCGTCGTTTTTATTTTACGAGTAAAATTTTAACTTCACTTAAAGCTTACGCTAAGTATACAGAGATGACAGAGGAACATTCAAATACTCAAGCTAAATCTATGTAAATAGAACATACACCGGGAATTTTTGTTTATACCGTTACACAGAAATTTACTATAAAATATGTTTTCGTATTCATTTTTTAATTTACTTGACATTCTGTAAACTGTGTCGATAAACATTTCCAACTCAAATTACTTATATACTTGCTTAAAAATAGACTTATCAATCTGCGAAACAATTGCGGAATTTATCTGCAGAAAGAGGGAAAACGGGCCTACGAATGATTAAGAATATGTTATAAACGTCACCCGTTTCACTACGGACGGACATCCGAACGTTCTTTCAACTAAAAATAAATATACAATCGTTCAAGGACGAAATGACGCAAGGAGGAAAGTCGACTCTTGCACATTTAACGACGGAAGATGAAATGGCGATGTGTATTTTAATACTTAATAAATATTTTAATTGGAATTATAGAAAGGTTTCTCTCAAATAAAATCATTTTATATTAATTTAACGATAGAATCGGACATAGAAGAAATAATATAAACAACGATTTCGTCTTTTTTCTCGTGTTACGGGTTCAAACACATATTGACAGGTGTTAAAACCTAACTCTGTATAAAAGGAAATTAACGAGTTATCTTACTCTAAACGTTTCGTAAAGGTTAAACATTTACCTGAAAGGTGATCCGTGACCGCGCCACCGACATGGCTACTTATCCAATTCCTTATATCGGGGTGGTAAGCAGTTATGTCGTTAAATCGATAAATACTAACAGAAAGGTTTCTTTTTCTCTTTAAAAGCCGGCGCTATCGCCAGGTCGACTCAATATCCGGTTGGAAAAACGACGGGAGATAAAAGCGAAAATTCCCTCCGTCGTGAGGATGCAATTCCCACTTGTACAGGTATAGATAGAACTTCCTTTTCGTAGCGTTTAAAGCAATTGTCTTTCCAGATTTACTATTTATTATCGATAGTCACGCTTGACGTTCGGCGGATGTTTTCGACTTAATTAACTTATTTATTACGTAAGACATCTGTACTAGAATATATAAAGTTTAAGGGCGGTGGCGGGTTCGGACCCCACCGACCAGCCGATCTTCGCGTGTCTGAAACCCGATTAGGATTTAATTTCCCATAAAAGGGTCCTACGCGGGTAATTCTTTATACTACGCTTATAATCTATCGGCTTATTTTCGAGGAACAATGTAAACAATTTAATTGTTTAATTATAAAGGAAATGATGTCGATGCAATTCGGAAAAGAATAAAAATGAAACTGTGTTGAAAACATTGAGAACCGATAGTTATTTGTGACTTCGGTCATCGACCCTCTGCCATAAATTTTATCATAATTCCTGTCAATGCATTATTACAAGTATTTTAATTTTAAATTATATATCCTCGAAATTTGATAAAACGTCACAGACGAGGGTGTTCTTTATCGCTCGTGTCCCATTTGATAAATTGCGACAAGCGCGATAAAATAAGTAATTTCGTGGAAAATTTCCGCAATTTGGCAGAGATATTTGCGTATTAGGGATTCGATAGTATTTAAATTTTGGCGGTTAAAGGTGGAAGGGACGGGGAGACAGAGAAAAATCGCGTGTCGTATTTGGAGTAAATTTTATATAAAATTCGTCTCTGTCCTTAAATTAAGCTTTGTGCCATTTTTGTGTTTAAAAAAATAAATAAATAATACCGGGAAATCCAGCATTTTTATCTATTTCGGTATTTCTCGACCTTGTCAGAATTACCGCTACCTTCTCTTTAAAATTCATCAAATATTGTTTTATGTTGTACAGAAATTGGCAATTTTAAAAACATTGTTTTAACTTTCAATTTTAATTATGTTTTTGTCTTAATAGAGCTTTAATTATTATTTTTAGTTTTAGTTTTTATTAATAGTTTTAATAATTTTTATTTATTTATTTAATTTCTCCCGCATTTTTGAACCCTTAATTACAATTTTAGTTAAGCGACAGACTTCTGGTTTTGGACATTACACGGAGAGAGAAAGATAAAAACGAGAATATAGAATACCAGCCACGACTCAATATCTGGAAACTGAAAGAGGAAAATATTGACAAATTCCAGCAGATGTTGAAAGGGAAGATGGAGAAAGTGACGAGACAGGAACAGAGTGAGATCAGCGAAGTGCGAAATAAGATGGCAAATATCACGAAAGATAGTGAGGAGGGGTATGTTACCAGGCAAGAAAAGGAAGAAATCTGTAAAGAGAGACGTGGTGGTCCAACGGAGAGATGAAAGATGCAGTTAAGTGGAAGAAAGAACCTTTTAAACTTTGGAAGAGAAGTGAGAGTCAAACCGATAAGGATAGATATAAGAAGTGTAAGGAGGCAATTAAAAGAACAGTGATAATAACTAAAGACAGAGAATAGTAGAATTGGGAAGGGGAAAAATTAATCTATAGAATAGAAAGGAACGGATGAAAAGCGAGGAGAGACATTCCGGAAATCAATGCACCGAGGAATGAAGAAGAGATTGCGTTGACACGAGAGCGGATAGAAAGATGGAGAGAATATTTTAATAAAATTCTAAACGGAGAAAATGAGCGAGGAATATTGGAAGACATAAATAAAAACCTTAAGCGAGAAGATTATTGACAAGACAAAAAGTATAAAATGCGATTAGGGTTATGAAAGTGGAAAGGCCGGAGGACCCTCGGGCGTTGCGATAGAGACGTTTAAAACCAGAGGTCCAGATGGGAGGAAGTGGATTTTTGACGTAACGAAGAGATCGTGGACGGAGGAAAAAATTCCCGACGAATGGAAAAAAAGTTATATTGTACAAATCTTTAAACAGAAAGGAGACCCATTAATTTGTGGTAACTACAGAGGGATAAAATTCTTAGAGCATTGATTTAAGAGTTTGAACCCGTGTCCATTAATTCCGTACGCTTTACTATTATTACTGTACTTCTAATTCTGCGTACGCAAGATCACTTTTAACATTCTCTAATTCTTCAGACGATGATCACGATTACAAAGAATAACACGGATTAACTGTTACATAACCAAACACGTAACAATCATACGTTATGACAAACGTGCCGCAGATCAGCGCCATTGTTTTTCCCTCCGATTTATAAATATTTAAATATCTTTATGTAATTATTTCAGACGATTTACCAACCGTAACGTAGATAACAATTGCCAATTGTAATTTGGCAATCGTTGACAACATTGATGATATTTTTTATTTTGTACTTCTCTTCCCTATAACTTGTCTGTAACGAGAAAATAAGCAATTCGAGGCGGGTAATAAAAAATTCTGCGGATAGCGCGGAGGTGAGGATAATTAACAATATTAGAAATATCAATTTACGGATTGCTGGGAAGGAAATGGTCCTCCGTCCCAACAAATGTTACGGTTATCTTGCGTAAGAGTTTATCACACCGAGTGACCAATCTCCAGAACGGAGTTAGACGGATGAAAGTCGAGACCAGACGTGGAATTCGTGAAACAAAAGAACCGCATTACCTATATACGAACTCGCGATACGTACCGCCAGTCGCGTTATTTCGATACAAATATTTTCCCCAACCGAGCTATATACCGGCACGACTCTATGGCTAACGGGAAAAGCGCGATGTACGGGGGCAAAACACTACTACACTACGCGCTACCCGTGGCGTAATGGAGAATCGGCGGGTGTATTTCGCGCTATATCGTTGTCGCGGTAATTCGGTGAACATAATATATATCTTTTAACATTATATTATTTGTAAGGATTATAGTTAATTACTTTGCTAACTTTTTTCAATAGATAACGCTACGGGTAAATCAGAAAATCGACTGTTAATAAAAATAAATTTATTTTTTTATTTGAATCTAATGTAAGTCTCACAACGTGGAGATTTACAAAAATCTCGGAGGGTCAATTTTGACACGATTCCTCGTTACGTAAACATAAAACCCGAAAAAGTAAAAGTGGTGTTAATTAAGAACGAATTACGAAAGACGTGAAATTAAAATTTGTATCGAGAAGAAAGGAATTTTTATATTATACGAGTGCGCCAGGTTTTCCTTCGCGTAAAAAGATAATGCGAAATGAAAAGTCCCGGTAGTTTGAAAATACACGAAAGACTAAACGACGAAAAATTTAATATTTTATTGTATTGCAAATATTGTATTACAACATTCACAAATGATACTTATTTCGCGAAATTTCTCTTTACGCGACTAAACACTAAAGTCCTAAATCCTGGAGGTAACATTTGTATTGCGTGTAGATTTAGGAATTTGACACGTATACAAAAAAGTATTGTAATAACAATCTTTAGTGCAGTTTTTATAAATACAGTTATTTTATTAATCTTTATTTCACTTTTTATTTTTTTAACGAACCGTTAACTTTCTAAATGTAAATCAAGACGAATTTTCGAAATTATTCATAAAATTTTTACGCAAAATGTTTGAAAAATTGGTAAACCGAACGTTGAGATTCAAAATGGCAAATTATTATGCTCAAACAATACAGCGCGCTAGTGAATTCCATCTTTCAGAGGAAGTTTCCCGCTGGCTGAGGTAATCGATTCTGATTAAAGTTTCGATCAAAAAGAATGTTTACACTTACAAAATAATTAATATCTTTAAATAAATATTATCATTTTAACTGAATTTAAATTATGTTTTTACCATTTTATTTTTACCGGGAAGAAAGCTAATGTATTATTTAAACATATCTACGTTTCTCTCACGAGTCTTAAATTATGCCATTTGCATATGACGCTTCAATTTATACTTTTCATTTCTTAAAAATTTCACAGTTGTTGCGCATTATCGTATATTTTCACAACACAAATCAAAGTGCACTTTCGCTATTTAATTCCAGGATCCTTGCACTTACGTCGTCAACTTGATAACGTAACGATTTATGATTCGAACAACGAGGTAAGGCGTATCTCAACTTCTCCCAAAACCATCTTTCGCCCCACACCAGGTATGTCCTGCTAAGTAGCAACTCGCGCGTGTCCGCGGGAACTACGTCACACAACGAATTATCCTTCAATACGAAAATTATCTTTTCTGTTTTATCTTCGAAAGCCTTTACCAAAGCCGCTCGAAGCTCCGCCTGACACCACACGCTGTTGAAGAATTCCGCAGACAGAAGCAATATCGTTTTATCGCTATTTTGAATCGAAGCTTCTATCTGACATATTACGTCATAACCGGGTATCCAATCGCGCTCGTGGATGCACAGCTTAAAGAATGGGGGTTTCTTTTCCAGTTCCTTCAACAAACACATGACGATGTCTCTGTCGCTGCCGGAATACGAAATGAAGGCATCGAACGCCTTATCTTTGTCAAGTTCGGAAATCTTGCAGCAGTACAGCCAAGGAAAATGCACGTACACGTAAGCCAAGATGGTGTTTCTGTACTTCAGAAAGAAGAAAGCGAACACCATTGTTAATATTCCTAGCAGACAGACAACGAAACCGGAAACGATTATAGGAACGTTCGTTACCATCGAAGGAGGCAAACAANCGTAAAGGTATTGAGTATCACCACCAGACTTTATGATTCTTTACTAGTTATATGGAACTCAAATACCTGAAAGACCGGGCACTACAAAGAACTCGTTGGAGGAAACTCGTCTATGTCACCAATAGTCGTACACGACTCAATGGTTAAAGAAGAAAACTAGTTATAGATACCTTTAGGACCGGTTATAATTGGAGCCAAAATTTTTCTACAAAAGCCGTGGCGCTGGAATCTCGACTGAGAGAATGCCCTATCAGAAACCTTCAACTATAAATACATCAAATTTTGTCATCTTTAATCTTCCTTGAAGACCTTGGAAGTTTGAAGATTGCTAGATATATTTCACAGACTCCTTTCAGAGGGACGTCTTGGTAGGATATGCAAATTCCTCGCGGATATGCAAATTCCTCATTAGCGTATATGCAATGTATAAAGGAAGATTGTACTAGCAAACCACGACGTTTTGATAGTAAATGTCGTGTTGCTTCTGTTAATGGACTGTAATCATGAAGACTTCGCGCAAAGTACAATTAGCATGCTGAGTACAACCAAGAAGAAAACGAACTAACAAACTCTCCAACACACTTGAAAACTTTTAAATCTTAACGGCTAAAGATAGAAGGCGGAACTCGAGATGCCAAGAAGGATAAAACGGTAGATTAATACGATGGTAGTATCTATTTACAATTTATCATGTTAATATTTAATATTGTATGAATTGCAGTATATTGAAATATTGAAAAATCCTAGTTACAAGCCTATCTCGAGCGGGATCGGGAAAATTTTTTCTGGTTATTAGTATTTACAATTTTTTTATTTATAAAACCTATCCCTACCCTCAAAATTAAGCCTTTTGCCATTTTATAATAGTTAAATTTATAAAAATAGTTTTAATAAAATATTGTAACAGATGGCGCCACCAAAGGTTGCAGGGACAGTTAAACAACTCGTTACTATAATTCTTTAATACCAGTTTTGGATTCGTGGGCACAGTTAATGAAATATGGCAAAGTTTCATCAAACTGGATCGAATATATTTTTAGAAAAAAACACAATTCTCTCTGCTATGTAAAAACGGAGAGAGAGGTTCCAGCAAGTAAACATGTCTTCGTATAAAAATTTGCGCCATAGAAAATGTAATCAGTAAACTGAAAATTTGTCATTTAACCTTAAATGAACGGGAAATTCATCTTTTGTCTTCCTTTATCTGCAGTTAGAACAGGTCACAAAGATTTAAAAAAAGACATCCCACTTACGTCTGTTCTTACATAAACTGACTTACGTTGTCTTGACCCGATAAAATGACTAAATTAATCTGCTATCTTCTATTTGTAATCTAAAGATCACCCGAACTATAAACAAAGCATTAAAGATTATTCAAATTTATACCGGTAAAAGGTGTGTAGTATTTATATACTTGGAAATGTAACCAGTTGATTTTTCGAGTCAATGTCTATGCTGCCATACAGGTCTATTGTAGTGAAGTAGCCGTATCTCTCGCCGTTCCTTTATTTTAACTTCTAAATTTACGATACCAAAAAGGATGAAAAATAGAAAAATGGCATCACGACTTTCTATAAACCGTGTTTATTATGCTCCATAACACTGACACAACAAAACAACTTGGCTTGTTATTTGAAGAGCAACCATTCAACTGATTTTTTTCATCTATTGTCTTCGAAGAATATATTTCAATTTTTCCCAAAACCATTTCTCTCCCCACTTTAAATAAGTTTTGGTTTTCAGCAAACGACGAAGATCCTCCTCCAGCTCGTTCGAATTCTCCAATTCATCCACCAAAACCAACACTAGATGATGAATTTGATCTTGCATCATTCTGTTGTACGCTACACGAAATTCAACAGTAAACCACATGCTGTCCAGAAAGTTTCGAGACAACAATATCACCGTCTTTCTACTGTTAAGCACGGAATACACGATGTTCTCGCTAATAGGGCTACCCGCTAACCAATCACGTTCGTGAATACAAAGGCGATAAGCGGGTTCGAGCCGATCCACTATCTCCATGGTTAACAGAGAATCGCAACTATTATAACACACAAACGCGTCGTATTTCTTTTCCTCTTCGTCGAGGACCCTATTCCAACACGGTAAGTACACGTCTCGACTGTATAGAAAGGCCAATATAGCGAGTCTGTAATGGTAAGAAACCGCTATAAGAACTGCTAACATCAACAATAACACTACCGAAACTGTAAGAACCATCACTTTCCATAAAGGCAACACGGGTTCTTCTAAACAGAACACATCCAGCGGTGTACTTTCTATTAGCTCATGTCTTACGGAATTGTTAACCCTATTGACTCTCTGGCAGGTTACGTTCTCGGAATCACGGATCTTAAGCAAATTCCGCGTAAACCACTTCTTGAAATGGACAGAATGGCAATCGCATTTCCACTCGTTTCTGGAAAGAAAGATGCTGAAGTTCGTCGAATCTTCTACGCGCATCATCAAAGAAAGGGGCAAATCCGACAGTTTGTTTCCATCCAAAGCCAAATAGCGGAGATTATCCGGAACGACCCAATCGTTCAGTGACGTCAGAGAATTGTTACTAAGATACAGATGGGTGACGTTTTGCCACGTAGTCCCATTCAGTTCAGACAGGTTTACAATGTGGTTGTCGTTCAGATTGACAAATGTTGAATTGACAGGAAGATTCGCGGGCGGATAAGACAAATTTCTACGAGAACAATCGATTGTACTTTGTCCTTCTAGTGTCAGGTAGCACTCGCAAAACAAAGGACATCCCTCTTTCCGCGGACAGACACTGTAAATGGGCCAGATTTCTGTAAGTTTCCTTTCGGAACGTCCATTGCATCGCATGATATTGGAATCTGGAAAAATGCGGATGGCGTTTTCGTCAGAGTGAAGAAATCGCAAGAACTGTCTGATTCGACAGTCGCACTCGATGACGTTTCCCGTGACGTTATACACTGGATAACTGTTAGAATGTCGTCGATAGTCAATGTAGATGGTGGAGATGTTGTTGTCGTTGAGCAATATCTTGGTGCGCTTCTTGGTAAACACGGGTAGAGTGACTTCCCGAAATTGATTGTGGGATAGATCGACTTCTGTCAGGTTGTTATTCGACCAATCAATATTAGGAAAAGTCTTCAGATTTGAATTGCTGATGCTTACACTTTGCAAATAATTGCTAGAACCAAAAGGATATTTTGCGGGTAAACTTTCAAAGTTGTTATTTGATAAGTTTATCTCCCTCAAATTCAAAAGAGGTAGAAGTGTATCTTGGTGCAAGGAGGACAAATCGTTATCGGATAATCGCAACACTATCAGTGTTGATAAGTGCTTGAAGATATCTTTATGTAAATGGTTCAGTTTGTTTTGTGATAAGTGTAAGACTCCGAGTCTCGTTAGGTTAAAAAATACACGCTGTGGCAAAGTCGATAATTTATTTTCATTCATATACAAAATTCGCAGATTTTCCATGTTATTAAACAATATTTCCGGGACACGTGTAATATTGTTACAATCTAGAATGAGGTATTTTAAAGATCTTGTGTCTGAAAATAACGATTCCTCCAGATGTACCAAAGAGCATCTGGATGCCCAAAGTTGTTCTAAGCGCGTCAAGCCTCTTAAGAATCCTTTGGGTAAGTTCGTTATTCCAATATTATTACTCATTTCGAGAATCGTCAGTTGTGAGAGGGAAGAGAGCAAATTTTCCGGGAGAACCGTCAGTTTATTGTTTTTGATCCGAAGCTCTTCTAGGCTGAAAAGATCGGAAAAGAGATCTTCCGACAGATTCTCGATCTGATTATAGGATACATCCAGATAATTCAACAATGTGAGATCTTTAAAGAATCCACGTGGAATCTCTTTTATTCTGTTATTGTACAAGGTTAGTATTTTGAGATTGTTCAGGTTTTGGAGCAAATTCTCCTGAAGATACTCCAGATTTCCATCTACTATGTGCAAAATTGGAAGATTTGTCAGGTTTATAAATGGTGGCTGCGTAAAGGAAGTGAAATTGTATTTGAATATTTGTAATGCGTAGATGACGGGTTGGAAGTTTAATGTCAGATCGAATGATCCCTCGGTTCTTATTCCGGACAGAGATATGTTCCTGACAAATGGCATCTTTTCGATGTGCAATCTGTTATAATTCTGTTCGACCGTGGTGAATGTAATTTCCAAGTTGCGTATGACGAAACCAAATAAAAATTTATTGATACTAAAATTTTGATAATAACAATTGCGCATTATGAACACGGTGTTTTCTGTCTGTTGCAAACACTGGATGATACGACGATCCGGAATTCTCCCGTAGCAATCGATTAAAAGAAAATGAACGTTAACGGCAACCATAACGTTTTCGCTTCGAACACAAACGGTTCTGGTGTCCCACGAAAGAAAACGGGGACACGTGACATTCTTCCATCCGTTCCAGACGTCGTTGCAACACTGAGCCAAAGCGAAACAGACGAATAAGTTGAACAAGTTCTTCATTTTTATTTCCGTGGCATTCTGCAAAGAAAACTTCCATTTAATCCGTTTTGTAGGAATGACACGCCGAGAAGAAAGAGTCTAAGTGAAATTAATTTGTATTTTTTCTAAATAATTTTAAAGAGATGGCTAATGCCGTAAATTATACGTCGTTCATCACACATTCTTATCCGTCTTCAGCGCTTTCCAAGTCTTCTGGCGACAAAAAGTAATAACGAGTGTCTTTACATCCCTATTATCGTCACAATAGCTTGCGACAATTTTCCTCCATACTGCTTTGAAGGTCAATCGTCGTTTTTATTTTACGAGTAAAATTTTAACTTCACTTAAAGCTTACGCTAAGTATACAGAGATGACAGAGGAACATTCAAATACTCAAGCTAAATCTATGTAAATAGAACATACACCGGGAATTTTTGTTTATACCGTTACACAGAAATTTACTATAAAATATGTTTTCGTATTCATTTTTTAATTTACTTGACATTCTGTAAACTGTGTCGATAAACATTTCCAACTCAAATTACTTATATACTTGCTTAAAAATAGACTTATCAATCTGCGAAACAATTGCGGAATTTATCTGCAGAAAGAGGGAAAACGGGCCTACGAATGATTAAGAATATGTTATAAACGTCACCCGTTTCACTACGGACGGACATCCGAACGTTCTTTCAACTAAAAATAAATATACAATCGTTCAAGGACGAAATGACGCAAGGAGGAAAGTAGACTCTTGCACATTTAACGACGGAAGATGAAATGGCGATGTGTATTTTAATACTTAATAAATATTTTAATTGGAATTATAGAAAGGTTTCTCTCAAATAAAATCATTTTATATTAATTTAACGATAGAATCGGACATAGAAGAAATAATATAAACAACGATTTCGTCTTTTTTCTCGTGTTACGGGTTCAAACACATATTGACAGGTGTTAAAACCTAACTCTGTATAAAAGGAAATTAACGAGTTATCTTACTCTAAACGTTTCGTAAAGGTTAAACATTTACCTGAAAGGTGATCCGTGACCGCGCCACCGACATGGCTACTTATCCAATTCCTTATATCGGGGTGGTAAGCAGTTATGTCGTTAAATCGATAAATACTAACAGAAAGGTTTCTTTTTCTCTTTAAAAGCCGGCGCTATCGCCAGGTCGACTCAATATCCGGTTGGAAAAACGACGGGAGATAAAAGCGAAAATTCCCTCCGTCGTGAGGATGCAATTCCCACTTGTACAGGTATAGATAGAACTTCCTTTTCGTAGCGTTTAAAGCAATTGTCTTTCCAGATTTACTATTTATTATCGATAGTCACGCTTGACGTTCGGCGGATGTTTTCGACTTAATTAACTTATTTATTACGTAAGACATCTGTACTAGAATATATAAAGTTTAAGGGCGGTGGCGGGTTCGGACCCCACCGACCAGCCGATCTTCGCGTGTCTGAAACCCGATTAGGATTTAATTTCCCATAAAAGGGTCCTACGCGGGTAATTCTTTATACTACGCTTATAATCTATCGGCTTATTTTCGAGGAACAATGTAAACAATTTAATTGTTTAATTATAAAGGAAATGATGTCGATGCAATTCGGAAAAGAATAAAAATGAAACTGTGTTGAAAACATTGAGAACCGATAGTTATTTGTGACTTCGGTCATCGACCCTCTGCCATAAATTTTATCATAATTCCTGTCAATGCATTATTACAAGTATTTTAATTTTAAATTATATATCCTTGTAATTTGATAAAACGTCACAGACGAGGGTGTTCTTTATCGCTCGTGTCCCATTTGATAAATTGCGACAAGCGCGATAAAATAAGTAATTTCGTGGAAAATTTCCGCAATTTGGCAGAGATATTTGCGTATTAGGGATTCGATAGTATTTAAATTTTGGCGGTTAAAGGTGGAAGGGACGGGGAGACAGAGAAAAATCGCGTGTCGTATTTGGAGTAAATTTTATATAAAATTCGTCTCTGTCCTTAAATTAAGCTTTGTGCCATTTTTGTGTTTAAAAAAATAAATAAATAATACCGGGAAATCCAGCATTTTTATCTATTTCGGTATTTCTCGACCTTGTCAGAATTACCGCTACCTTCTCTTTAAAATTCATCAAATATTGTTTTATGTTGTACAGAAATTGGCAATTTTAAAAACATTGTTTTAACTTTCAATTTTAATTATGTTTTTGTCTTAATAGAGCTTTAATTATTATTTTTAGTTTTAGTTTTTATTAATAGTTTTAATAATTTTTATTTATTTATTTAATTTCTCCCGCATTTTTGAACCCTTAATTACAATTTTAGTTAAGCGACAGACTTCTGGTTTTGGACATTACACGGAGAGAGAAAGATAAAAACGAGAATATAGAATACCAGCCACGACTCAATATCTGGAAACTGAAAGAGGAAAATATTGACAAATTCCAGCAGATGTTGAAAGGGAAGATGGAGAAAGTGACGAGACAGGAACAGAGTGAGATCAGCGAAGTGCGAAATAAGATGGCAAATATCACGAAAGATAGTGAGGAGGGGTATGTTACCAGGCAAGAAAAGGAAGAAATCTGTAAAGAGAGACGTGGTGGTCCAACGGAGAGATGAAAGATGCAGTTAAGTGGAAGAAAGAACCTTTTAAACTTTGGAAGAGAAGTGAGAGTCAAACCGATAAGGATAGATATAAGAAGTGTAAGGAGGCAATTAAAAGAACAGTGATAATAACTAAAGACAGAGAATAGTAGAATTGGGAAGGGGAAAAATTAATCTATAGAATAGAAAGGAACGGATGAAAAGCGAGGAGAGACATTCCGGAAATCAATGCATCGAGGAATGAAGAAGAGATTGCGTTGACACGAGAGCGGATAGAAAGATGGAGAGAATATTTTAATAAAATTCTAAACGGAGAAAATGAGCGAGGAATATTGGAAGACATAAATAAAAACCTTAAGCGAGAAGATTATTGACAAGACAAAAAGTATAAAATGCGATTAGGGTTATGAAAGTGGAAAGGCCGGAGGACCCTCGGGCGTTGCGATAGAGACGTTTAAAACCAGAGGTCCAGATGGGAGGAAGTGGATTTTTGACGTAACGAAGAGATCGTGGACGGAGGAAAAAATTCCCGACGAATGGAAAAAAAGTTATATTGTACAAATCTTTAAACAGAAAGGAGACCCATTAATTTGTGGTAACTACAGAGGGATAAAATTCTTAGAGCATTGATTTAAGAGTTTGAACCCGTGTCCATTAATTCCGTACGCTTTACTATTATTACTGTACTTCTAATTCTGCGTACGCAAGATCACTTTTAACATTCTCTAATTCTTCAGACGATGATCACGATTACAAAGAATAACACGGATTAACTGTTACATAACCAAACACGTAACAATCATACGTTATGACAAACGTGCCGCAGATCAGCGCCATTGTTTTTCCCTCCGATTTATAAATATTTAAATATCTTTATGTAATTATTTCAGACGATTTACCAACCGTAACGTAGATAACAATTGCCAATTGTAATTTGGCAATCGTTGACAACATTGATGATATTTTTTATTTTGTACTTCTCTTCCCTATAACTTGTCTGTAACGAGAAAATAAGCAATTCGAGGCGGGTAATAAAAAATTCTGCGGATAGCGCGGAGGTGAGGATAATTAACAATATTAGAAATATCAATTTACGGATTGCTGGGAAGGAAATGGTCCTCCGTCCCAACAAATGTTACGGTTATCTTGCGTAAGAGTTTATCACACCGAGTGACCAATCTCCAGAACGGAGTTAGACGGATGAAAGTCGAGACCAGACGTGGAATTCGTGAAACAAAAGAACCGCATTACCTATATACGAACTCGCGATACGTACCGCCAGTCGCGTTATTTCGATACAAATATTTTCCCCAACCGAGCTATATACCGGCACGACTCTATGGCTAACGGGAAAAGCGCGATGTACGGGGGCAAAACACTACTACACTACGCGCTACCCGTGGCGTAATGGAGAATCGGCGGGTGTATTTCGCGCTATATCGTTGTCGCGGTAATTCGGTGAACATAATATATATCTTTTAACATTATATTATTTGTAAGGATTATAGTTAATTACTTTGCTAACTTTTTTCAATAGATAACGCTACGGGTAAATCAGAAAATCGACTGTTAATAAAAATAAATTTATTTTTTTATTTGAATCTAATGTAAGTCTCACAACGTGGAGATTTACAAAAATCTCGGAGGGTCAATTTTGACACGATTCCTCGTTACGTAAACATAAAACCCGAAAAAGTAAAAGTGGTGTTAATTAAGAACGAATTACGAAAGACGTGAAATTAAAATTTGTATCGAGAAGAAAGGAATTTTTATATTATACGAGTGCGCCAGGTTTTCCTTCGCGTAAAAAGATAATGCGAAATGAAAAGTCCCGGTAGTTTGAAAATACACGAAAGACTAAACGACGAAAAATTTAATATTTTATTGTATTGCAAATATTGTATTACAACATTCACAAATGATACTTATTTCGCGAAATTTCTCTTTACGCGACTAAACACTAAAGTCCTAAATCCTGGAGGTAACATTTGTATTGCGTGTAGATTTAGGAATTTGACACGTATACAAAAAAGTATTGTAATAACAATCTTTAGTGCAGTTTTTATAAATACAGTTATTTTATTAATCTTTATTTCACTTTTTATTTTTTTAACGAACCGTTAACTTTCTAAATGTAAATCAAGACGAATTTTCGAAATTATTCATAAAATTTTTACGCAAAATGTTTGAAAAATTGGTAAACCGAACGTTGAGATTCAAAATGGCAAATTATTATGCTCAAACAATACAGCGCGCTAGTGAATTCCATCTTTCAGAGGAAGTTTCCCGCTGGCTGAGGTAATCGATTCTGATTAAAGTTTCGATCAAAAAGAATGTTTACACTTACAAAATAATTAATATCTTTAAATAAATATTATCATTTTAACTGAATTTAAATTATGTTTTTACCATTTTATTTTTACCGGGAAGAAAGCTAATGTATTATTTAAACATATCTACGTTTCTCTCACGAGTCTTAAATTATGCCATTTGCATATGACGCTTCAATTTATACTTTTCATTTCTTAAAAATTTCACAGTTGTTGCGCATTATCGTATATTTTCACAACACAAATCAAAGTGCACTTTCGCTATTTAATTCCAGGATCCTTGCACTTACGTCGTCAACTTGATAACGTAACGATTTATGATTCGAACAACGAGGTAAGGCGTATCTCAACTTCTCCCAAAACCATCTTTCGCCCCACACCAGGTATGTCCTGCTAAGTAGCAACTCGCGCGTGTCCGCGGGAACTACGTCACACAACGAATTATCCTTCAATACGAAAATTATCTTTTCTGTTTTATCTTCGAAAGCCTTTACCAAAGCCGCTCGAAGCTCCGCCTGACACCACACGCTGTTGAAGAATTCCGCAGACAGAAGCAATATCGTTTTATCGCTATTTTGAATCGAAGCTTCTATCTGACATATTACGTCATAACCGGGTATCCAATCGCGCTCGTGGATGCACAGCTTAAAGAATGGGGGTTTCTTTTCCAGTTCCTTCAACAAACACATGACGATGTCTCTGTCGCTGCCGGAATACGAAATGAAGGCATCGAACGCCTTATCTTTGTCAAGTTCGGAAATCTTGCAGCAGTACAGCCAAGGAAAATGCACGTACACGTAAGCCAAGATGGTGTTTCTGTACTTCAGAAAGAAGAAAGCGAACACCATTGTTAATATTCCTAGCAGACAGACAACGAAACCGGAAACGATTATAGGAACGTTCGTTACCATCGAAGGAGGCAAACAAAACGCATCGTCCGGAAAATTCAATATGGAAGACACGACAACGGTGTTGTTGTCCGACAACAATCTTCTGCACTTCACTTCTTCGGCTTCCACTATCTTATGAACGTTGCGATTCAACCACAGTTTGAAGGGTTTGAAAGAACAATTGCACCAAAATGCGTTGTTTCTAATGTCTACTCGAATGTAAAAAGAATCACTTACGTATTGCAAAAATTTTGCAGGAAAATCTTGTAGACTGTTGTATCGAAGAGTGAGAAATTTCAAGGAAGAAGGAAACGTCCAATCCTCAGAAGGTTTTAAACGATTGTAATCCAAATACAGTTCATTCACTCCTGACCAACTGTCTGTAATTTTCATTGTGAAAAGAGAGTTGTATTCCAGGTGAACTATTGTGATGTTTTCGGGAAGTATTGCAGGAGCGTGGGAAATATTGGAGAAAGAACAATTTACTATGACCGAAAAGCCTTTATATAAGTAACAGCGACACTTTTCTGCGCAATGTTCTACAACGGGACACACCTCGTAGGAAGGCGTCAGTTCCCATAAAGTCTTGTTCCTTAAGTCAGAAGGAGAATAACAGAGCAGAGATCCAGCGAATTCCGAAAACTGAACCTCTTCGATGTAGTTTCTCAAAGCGCAGTCATACCGTATAGGGTTGAAAAAGAGAAGAACGTTATTCATATTTCTGGTGATTTTTCCCGCGACTGTGGTGCTGTTATTGTTCATCAATAAAATTATGGATCGATTATCCGGAGGGAGGTCTTCGATGTAAAGTATCGACAGGCGATTGTCATTCAGTCTGAGCAGCGAGATGTTATACGCGCTCCAGTCCATTCGAGGAAACTGTGTGAAGGAGGTGTTGGAAAGCCCCAAGGATGTCAAACGTGGCAGTCTTCCGAACGGTGTCGGCTCCGGTAAAGCGCCAAGAGGATTGTCGTCCAGATGCAACATTCGCAGATTTTTCAAGAGGTCGAACTTTTCCTGCTGAATCTTCGTTATTCTGTTTCCCGTTAAAAATAAAATTTCAATATTTCTTATGTAGCTAAATACTTGGAATGAAATGGTGGTCAGGAGATTGTTACTTAAATTCAGTATCCTGAGCCGTTTGTTTCTAAGGAACATGTTAGAAGGTAATTCTTGCAAATGGTTGTGGTGTAAATCAATACTCTCGATTAACACGTTATTTACAAACAAATCGGGGTGTAGACGATCGATTCGATTTTCGCAAATTCGAACTTCGATTAAGTCGTAACGAGAGGAAAATATCTTCGATGGCAATTCACTGATGTCGCAGTTGCAGGCAGCAAATTGCTCTAATTTTGAGACATTTTGCAATAGTATTTCTGGTAGAGAACGGAAACTGTTGTTGCTCGCGTTCAGATAAAGCAAATTAAAATTATCTTCAAATAGGGAAGGAGGAAGAGTATTTAAACGATTGTCATTTAAGGTAAGCGTTTTAAGGTTTGTCAGTCCTCTAACTATGGCGGGAGGAAGAAACGTCAGCAAATTTCTATGCAGACGTAATACCTCTAGAGATGGCAATCCACGGAAAAGGCTCTCCGGAAGATCCTCTAAACGATTGTCGAAAAGATGTAAAGATTTCAGTCTGTTCAAAACACGAAATGCATCTTCTGGAAAACTTTTTATTCTTCCTAATACTACGTGAATCATTGTTAACGATGGGAGACGATTGAATAATCCGTTCGGAAACTTTTCCGTCATCACTCGTAACACATAGATTTTGTCAATGTTGGGTAACTTTTCTAAATTGTACGACACATTTTCCATATGATATAAGACGATGTCACGAAGTTTCGGTAGGTTCCCGATTGTAATTTGCGAATTCGGTGGAACGTCTTCGGAAATCAAAAAGAATTGCTCGATTCTCTCATCTCGCAGGGAAGTTTTCACGTCGGGATCTCTTAACATCACGGAGAAAAAGTAAGTAGAATTAGTGCACTCGCGAATCTGTTCGGCGTCGAAAATGTTTCCTCGACACACCACGTAAACCATTCTCACGTAATCGTTGACGAAAGAAACAACGTTCGATCCGCATTCCACCCGTCGATTCATTTTTACAGTGGTGTAGCCAAATCGGTGGCTGACGAAGATCCACCCCTTTATTGACACGCAAAGGAGTAACAATTGAGCCAAGAAGATTTTTTGCACCATCTGAAAGGAAAGTAAAACTTATGAACCTCTGACCGGATTTATTTTTACGAACAGTCGCAAGAACGTTCTTTCAACTTCAGATAAATAAATAATTGTTCGAGGACAACAATGGTGGACTGTTGCCACATTTATCGACGGAATGTGGTTTTAGAGTCTAATTCAATTGTACTGGGGTTTTTCGGAAATAAAATTGTTTTGTATAAATTTATTCGTATAATCGAATGTTAAAGGAATTATATATGCAATAATTTTATCTATTTTTAGTGTTACGAGATCGAAGGCTTATTAACAGGTGTTAAAGACCTTTCTTTCGATTTCAATTATTTTTTATATAAAGCAAACGTCAAAAGAGGAATTTCTATACGTCGCGACGAAGTAACGAGTTACCTTACTCTAAACGTTACTCTTACCGGATAAAGAGACATTAAACATTTACCTGGAGGGAAATCCTTGGCCGCGCCACCGACGTCGCTAGTTATACAATTCCTTGTATCGGGGTCGTAAACAGTTATGTCGTTAATTAATTAAATCGATAAACACTGACAGGAAGGTTTCTTTTTCTCTTTAAAACGCCATGATACGGTAACGCTGTAGCAATAACCGGTTGGAAATACGGATGTTACGTAAAGACGGGATTTCTTTCGAAAATTCCTTTTCCTTCGAGGATGCATTTCTACTTCTAGACGTATCGAAAGATCGAACCTCTTTCCCTAACGTCCTTCATTTGTTGTATGATAATCGCGTAGATCCGTGACGTTGGCTTTTCGGACGTTCGAACTATTCAAAATTTGTCGTTGATACGACATGAGGATGCTGACGAGGAGGAGAAGAATTCCTTCGCCTTTTCATTGTCTTCGTTTCTCCTAATCTCACGTTTCCGAAAATCATTTTCCCAAATTTTCTATATTCTTTCTTCGCGATAAAATACGGGACGAACTTGGAATTATAAACATAATTTTAAAAGAAAAATTTTCGAGTATCATTCAAAATTCGACGATAATTTTGTAATTTATTAAAACTTAAACCTTTGTTTGCGACGGAAGTGGAACACCTTCGGTTATTCAATAATCGCGTAGGGGTGCTCCTTCTATCTTCTAAGACACGCGAGAGTGTCGACCGTAAACCGCATCGATGCGACTGTCGAAAATATTGTACCGGAGTGTTTCGGCGCGTAAGTTGTGTGACGTCTACGGTATCGGTTCGTCAACTGTCTACTACGTAAAGAGGTAAAGAGTACTAATGTATTCGTATACTGTACAATGTTTCATTTATTGTTTACTTAATTTCCATTTAAAATTTATTTCAGGTTTTAGATGTCTAGAGTACACTTTTAGACGCTCGGGAGGTGTATAATTAGTGGTTACGGGTGTGTTGACGTACTATAACAGAGAGACGGACTACAGTGGAAATTTATATGTCTACAATTTTTTTCAAAATTGCAGCCCAATTACTTTAAAATATTTTGATGTTTTTTCATTAATTCCTACAGAAAAATTCCGAATTAGAGATAATAATTACTTTTACGTTTAAACAAGCTAACGTAAGTACCAACTAAACGAAATATCTTTGTTTTGTGAAGGAAAATAAAACTGCTAGTTTGCAGTAGTTACAAGTAAAAACAAGCGAAAAGAGTTAATAATACACAATACTCGAGCATTTTGTATAAATTTATAGAATAACGAGGAAAAGTCACGGTTACTTAAACAATAACGTCACAAAACGCCTATATCACACACGCACAAAAATTAAACATGGAATTGCAATCTGGGTCATCACACCAGAATATAGTGTAAATCGTTTATTACAGCCACGTATTATCTCAATTATAACGCAATTGTTTTGTATACTATCACTAGGAAAAATAGACGATGTAAAAACTCCATAAAACACTCCGAAACTTTATTATAATCACCCTGTAATTTATATGCATTTTTAGTATCCTAGATTACAGATATTCGTGAAACTTTACTCGCGATCCTATTCAGTTATCCGAATTACCGTAATTTGTTGATTACATTTGCAATATTAAAGATTCGGTTTGCGCTCCTCCTCGTTCTTTTATTCCAGATTTTGATGATGAGGAGCGATCTCGACTCGAGGACAGTTATTTAATTACTACAAAAATCCGAAAAGACAACTGTACGGGTGTGTGCGATTGTCCCGACAAACAATTCTTAAGTNCCCTGTAATTTATATGCATTTTTAGTATCCTAGATTACAGATATTCGTGTAACTTTACTCGCAATCCTATTCACTTATCCGAATTACCGTAATTTGTTGATTACATTTACAATATTAAAGATTCGGTTTGCGCTCCTCCTCGTTCTTTTATTCCAGATTTTGATGATGAGGAGCGATCTCGACTCGAGGACAGTTATTTAATTACTACAAAAATCCGAAAAGACAACTGTACGGGTGTGTGCGATTGTCCCGACAAACAATTCTTAAGTAACGAATTGTTTACGACTTTGTTTGGAGGACAACGTAACGGTTCGTCATTCTGTTCAACGAGGTGAGGAAAGTCTGATTTACGTAACACGTGACTATCGATACGAAATAGTAAATCCGGACGGACCATTGTTTTAAACGTTACGAAAAGGGAAGAGCTCTTTCCGCGTATCTAGATGTACGAGTGACATCCCCGAAGGAGAGGAAATGTCGGAGAGAAATCCCATCTTTACGTTACATCCGTTTTCCAACCGGTTATTGCGTCGACGATGCTTTAAAGAGAAAATAAAGTTTCCCGGAGTAACAATTGAGCCAAGAAGATTTTTTGCACAATCTGAAAGGAAAGTAAAACTTATGAACCTCTGACCGGATTTATTTTTACGAACAGTCGCAAGAACGTTCTTTCAACTAAAAATAAATATACAATCGTTCAAGGACGAAATGACGCAAGGAGGAAAGTCGACTCTTGCACATTTAACGACGGAAGATGAAATGGCGATGTGTATTTTAATACTTAATAAATATTTTAATTGGAATTATAGAAAGGTTTCTCTNTCCCTACAGGTAAATATTTAACGTGTCTTTATCCGGTAAAAGTGACGTTTATAATGCGTCGTAACGTTCAGAAATTCCTCTTATAGCCAGTGACGTTTGAATGGTATAAAAGAAAATAACCGACACAAGAAAGATCCGCAACACCTTTTGACAATTGTATGATCCCGTAACACTAGAAGTAGTTAAAATTATTATTTACATTAATTAGTCGTCCTACATCAGATTCTATCGATAAATTTATATAAAAAGCGGAAAATCTTTCAACGTGTCACGATTTCGTCTTCCGTCGACAAAAGTAGCGAGAGTGGACTTTCCCGTTTTCGCCATTCTCGTCCTTGAGCAATTATTTAATTCTTTTTATTTCAGAGAACGTTCGGATGTCTGTCCGTAAAAGAACGGGCGAAGTGAAATTAAATAACTTATATTCTTAATTAATGTTTTGTTGGCCAATTTTACCCCATTTGACTTTTTCTGGGGATATATTCCCGATTAACTTGTAATGATTTTAAGAATTTATCTCCGTAACTTTTAGCAGTTTTCATTGATTCGGTGTACAGAATGATAAGTAATTAATTGTCGTGTAACGGTAGAAATTCCCGGTGAATGTCCTATTTACCTAAATTAAGTACCACTATTTCGGTAAAGTTAGAATTTCCTCGAGATTTTGGTTTATCTCTGCATAAGATGTCACTAGAAGTAATCCGTAGACAAGCAAATAAATGACATTCAAGGTGTGATATTTTGCAACTTCCAACGGAATACAAAAGTTAATTGTCGAAGATCCTCGCTTAACAATGTCCTAACCTTATCGGACTTTCCTGAAAATTGGCACTCGGTGGCCTTCGTTTCGGAATATCAAACCAATGAGGCCAGACCCATCCGCGTTAACGATTTCGTCACCAAAAAACACGCGAATGTTTAACGAGACACTAATGCGGTGTGTTGCGAACTCCGAGTACCCTTTGAAGAAATTGACCCGACAAAATTTTCACTCGAACGAACAGAATCTCACAAAAGTGTTTTCGTACGGTTGGGAATTATACAGTTTAATTGCATCACTTCTGTAATTGCCTATGACTGTTTGTAATGTTTTGCCAGGTTTTTCCCTTTTGCATCATTCGCGGCTATTCCAATCTTCCACAAAATCTTCGCTTAATACAATATTAGATTAATTTCACCCGATCTTACACTATTTCCAAACCTTAAAAGCTATCGAATGGCGAAAATTTGACTGTAAATGGGAATACCAATATCTTCTATTTAATTCTAGTTCATATCATTAGCCATCTCCATAAAATTATTTATTACGTATACAAACTAAAGCCCGTTTATACTCTTCACTTCCGCAATTTATTCCTTTAACAGGAATTAAATAAAAATTTTCTTTGCAGAATGCGACGGAAATAAAAATGAACAACTTATTCAACTTATTCTTGTGTATCGCTTTGGCTCGGTGTTGCACCGAGTTCTTGAGCGGATGGAAGAACATCGTGTGTCCCGCTTTTGTTCCGCAGGACACCAGAACTGTTTGTATTAGAAGCGAAAACATATTGCTGGCCACTAGACTTGATTACCTTTTCATCGATTGCTACGGGACGGTGCCTGATCGTCGGATCTTCCAGTGTATGCAACAAATCGAAAACACAAATTTACTAATACGCAATTGTTATTCTAACAATTTTAGGTTGAATGAACTTTTGTCTGGACGAGTCATACGCATTTTGGAAATTATATTTACCACAACCCAACCGAATTACCGGAAATTGCACATTGAGACGATGCCATTCGTCAGCAATATAACAATGTTCGGAATAAATTCCGCAGGATCATTCGACCTGACGTTCGATTTCCAACCCGTCATCTACGCATTACAAATACACTTCTACAATTTCACTTCCTTTACGCAGACACCTTTTAAAAACTTGACAAACCTTCAAGCTGTGAAAATAATACATGGAAAACTGGAGTATCTTCAGGAGAATCTACTCCTAAACCTGAACGACCTCAAAGTACTATGCTTGTACAATAACAGAATAAAAGAGATTCCACGTGGATTCTTTAAAAATCTCACATTGTTGAATCATCTAGATATATCCTTTAATCAGATCGAGAATCTGTCCGAAGATCTCTTTTCCGATCTCTTCAGCCTAGAAGTACTTCGGATCAGAAACAATAAACTGACGGTTCTTCCGGAAAATTTGCTCTCTTCCCTTACTCAGTTAATCGGTCTGGAAATGAGTGAAAATAGAGGAATGAGAAACTTACCCAAAGGATTCTTAAAAGGCTTGACACGTCTACAAGCATTTGCAGCAATGAGATGCTCTTTAACACATGTGGAAGAATCTTTATTTTCAGACACTATATCTATGAAACACATCTACCTAGATTATAACGACATCAGAAGTCTCCCGGAAAAATTGTTCAATAACACGGAAAATTTACTCTTTCTGTTTCTATATGACAATAAATTATCGACTTTGCCACCTCGTGTATTTTCCAGCCTAACGAGACTCGGAGCATTAGACTTAGCGTACAACAGACTGAACCATTTACATAAAGATATCTTCAAGCACTTATCAACACTGGCAGTGCTGCGGATGTCTGATAACGATTTGTCCTCCTTGCACGAAGATACACTTCTACCTCTTTCTGGTTTGATAGAGATCGACCTATCAAATAACAACTTTGAACGTTTACCCGCAAAATATCCTTTTGGTTCTAGCAATTATTTGGAAAGAGTAAAGATGAGCAACTCGAGTCTGAAGATTTTTCCTAATATTGATTGGTCGAATAACAACCTGACTGTAGTCGATCTATCCCACAATCAATTTCGGGAAGTCAATCTACCCGTGTTTACAAGAAACTATACCAAGATACTGCTCAACCACAACAACATCTCCACTATCTACATTGACTATCGACGACATTCTAATAGTTATCCAGTGTATAACGTCACAGGAAACGTCATCGAGTGCGACTGTCGAATCAGACAGTTCTTGCGATTTCTTCACTCTGGCAAAAACGCCGCCCGCATTTTTCCAGATTCCCATATCCTGCGATGCAATGGAGATACCGAAATGAAACTAACAGAAATCTGGCCCATTTACAGTGTCTGTCCGCAAAAACAAGAGTGTCCTTCGTTTTGTGATTGCTACCTGACACTAGAAAGACAAACTGCGATCGATTGTTCTCGTAGAAATTTGTCTAATTCACCCGCGAATCTTCCTACAAATGCAACATTCGTCTTTCTGAACTACAACCACATTGCTAATCTGTCCGAAGTGGACGGAACTACGTGGAAAAACGTCACCCATCTCTATCTTAGTAACAATTCTCTGACGTCACTGAACGATTGGGTCGTTCCGGAAAATCTCCGCTATTTGGCTCTGGATGGAAACAAGCTGTCGGATTTGCCCCCTTCTCTGATGAAGCGCGTGGAAGATTCCTCAAACTTCAGCATCTTTCTTTCCAGAAACGAGTGGAAATGCGATTGTCACTCTGTCCATTTTAAGAAGTGGTTCACGCGGAATTTGCTTAAGATCCGTGATTCCGAGAACGTAACCTGCCAGAGAGTCAATGGAGTTAATAATTCTGTAACACACGAACTCATTCGTAGTACTCCACTAGATATGTTCTGTTTAGAAGAACCCGTGTTGCCTTTATGGCAAGTGATGGTTCTTACAGTTTCGGTAATATTCTTATTGACTTTATCAGTTCTTGCAGTCGGTTGTTTCCATTATCGACTTTCTATATTGGCCTTTCTGTACAGTCGAGACGTATACTTGCCCTGTTGGAATATAGTTGTAGAGGAAGAAGGTAAACAATACGACGCTTTTATATGTTACAACGGTGCCGATTCTGCCGTAACCATGGAGATGGTGAATCGACTGGAACCCACTTATCGCCTTTGTATTCACGAACGTGATTGGTTGGCGGGTAGCCCCATTAGCGAGAACATCGTGCATTCTGTCAATAACAGTAGAAAGACGGTGATATTGTTGTCTCGAAACTTTCTGGACAGCATGTGGTTTACTGTAGAATTTCGTGTAGCGTACAACAGAATGATGCAAGATCAAATTCACCATCTAGTGTTGGTTTTGGTGGAAGAATTGGAGAATCCGAACGAGCTGGAGGAGGACCTTCGTCGTTTGCTGAAAACCAAAACTTATTTAAAGTGGGGAGAAAAGTGGTTTTGGGAAAAATTAAAATATATTCTTCGAAGACAATAATTGAGAAATGCAGTTGACTGGCTAGCAGTAAAATCAGCGTGAGAAGTTTCGTCTTTCGTCATTTGTGTGGATTTGTCACTTTTTCGGTTTTGATATCGTTAGGAACGTAATAAACTCGATTTATAGAAAATGGTGTCAATGTTATTTTTCGTATCGTTAATGAAACACGTGAAATATCGTTAATTTGGAAAATTTACAAGTTGAAATAAGCGAATGACGAGAGGAAAGACAACCGTGTTAATATAATAAGCCTTTTTAGCAGCGTAGAAGTCAATTTGGCGAATCAACTAGTTACATTTTCAAAAGGATAAATACAATAGTATAAATCTTATTAACAGCATAAATTTGAATAATATCTAACGATTTCGTTGTACCTTTCTTGATACTCAGATTTTTCCGATATGCCATTTAGACATTTAAAGGCACCAGGCAGTCAGACTAGAGTCCGGCACAAAGGATAATTCTAATAATCTGGAAGAAAAAGTAACCTTAATTCCTTTTCTTTAATAATTTTATCGACAGATTTCTGCACTTTTTGGGCTTTAACTTGAAAAAATTATAGACCTATAAATTCCCACTGTCTGGTGTCCGTCTGTCTGTCCTTCCTTAATCTCGAGAACGGTGTTAGATAGATGAAGGCCGAGGTGACGGGTGAAAAGACTAGAGGCGCAAAGCCCCGATTTACTATATGCCAACGTTCGCAGCAAATCAGAAGTGATGTTATTTCAATTCAATTATATTCTGCCGAAAGGAGTTACATAAATGACCGACACGACTCTATTGTTGAAGAAAAAGTATAATGTACAGGGCGAGCAACTAGTAATTTGTAATAGAGCATATATTTTAAATTAAATTAATTAAAAATATGAATAAAAAATGGCAATCCGGCATTGTGACAGTGTCACAGTAAATAATTACTCGGTTCTATTGAGATAAATTTGTGTACTTTATTTTACGTATAATATATATTCACGCGCGATATCATTATAAAAATCCAGCAACGAGTTGCGTAACTTTCTCGGAAATAAACATAAAATTGTGTGTGGCGCCATCTGTTACGAGATTTTACTTTAGAATTTTAATCTTATTTATTTCCAAATGGAAAAAAGAAATTAAATTTGGGAATAGAGACGAGTTTTAAAAAAGTTGTAAATGCTAATAACGAGTAACATCTTTATTAAGTCCGATTTCACTACATACACGACACGTCACCCTCTATCTCCCCACCCCTGGATTTTTATTCATCGAAATTTAACAGTATGAATTATCCTAATACACAACCTCCCTTGTCTGTTGGCTGTCAGAAAAGCAAATTGCATAGTGCACAGCGTAATTTATTACGCTCATATACCATACGCAGTGAACCCGTAATTATAGCGTTCACTATAAATTCTTAATACTTTAATGGCTCGAACGTGTAAAAGAGATCCGTCCAATAACTAACAAGTGTTAATATCGTTGCAGATGCTGCAGAAAATGTTTTTGGCTCAATTGGTGTTCCTTTGCACGGCAGTAGAGGGGTGGATCTTCGTCGGCGACCGTTATGGTTACATCAGTGCAAAAATGAAACGAATGGTGGAATGCAAATCGAACGTTACCTCATACATCAACGACTTCGACAGAGCCATTTATTTGGAGTGTCGAGGAAATACTTTCAACGCCGAACAGATTCGTGCGTGCACTAATACTACTTACTTTTCTTTTATGGTGTTAAGAGAATGCCTCCTTCCCTCTCCCGACGTCAGAACATCCCTGGGAGATGAAAGACTCGAGCAATTCTTTTTGATTTCCGAAAACGTCGCACCGAATTCGCAAGTTAGCATCAAGAACCTTCCGAATCTTCGCAACATCACTTTATATCATATGGAAAATGTCACGTACGATTTAAAAGACCTATACAACATCGAGAGGATCGCGGTGTTGCGCGTGATGTCGGAAAAATTTCCAAACGGATTATTCAATGGGCTCCCATCGTTAAGAACGATTTACGTAGTATTAGGAAGAATAAAAAGTTTTCCAGAAGATGCATTTCGAGGTTTGAATAGATTGAAATCTTTAAATCTCTTTGGAAATCGTTTAGAGGATCTTCCGGAGAGCCTTTTCCGCGGATTGCGATCTCTACAAGTACTTAATCTATACGGAAACTTGCTGACTTTTCTTCCTCACGCGATATTTAGGGGACTGTCGAGCCTTAAAAAGCTTTTTTTGAACGACAATCGTGTAAATATTCTTTACCCTTCCCTATTTGCAGATAATTTTAATTTGGTCGTTCTGAACATAAGCAACAACAGTTTCCGTTCTCTACCGGAACTACTATTGCAAAACGTCTCAAGATTACAGAGTTTCAGTGCCTGCAACTGCGACATCAGTGAGTTGCCCCAGAAGATATTTTCCACTTGTTTTGACTTAACTAAAGTTCAAATCTACGAAAATCGAATCGATCGTCTACACCCCGATTTGTTTGTAAATAACGTGTTAATCGAGAGTATTGATTTACACCACAATGATTTGCAAGAATTACCTTCCAACATATTCCGTAATAACAAACGGCTGCAGGAACTGGATTTAAGCAACAATCTTCTGACCAAAATTCCTTTCGAAGTATTTTCGGACATTCAAAATATTAAACAATTGTTTTTAACTGGAAACAGAATAACGAAGACTAAGGAGGAAAAGTTCGACGTCTTGAAAAATCTGCGAATGTTATATCTGGACAACAATCCTCTGGGTTCTTTACCGGAGCCGACACCGTTCGGAAGACTACCACGTTTGACATCCTTGGAGCTTTCCAACACATCCTTCACACAGTTTCCTCGAATGGACTGGAGCGCGTATAACATCTCACTGCTCAGATTAAATTACAATCGCCTGTCGATACTTTACACCGAAGACCTCCCTCCGGATAATCGATCCATAATTTCATTGACGCACAATAACATCACCACAGTCGCGGGAAAAATCACCAGGAATATGAATAACGTCTTTCTCTTCGGCAACCCCTTCCGGTGTGACTGCGATTTGAGAAATTTCGTCGAAAAAGTTCAGTTTTCGAGATTCGGTCGATCGCTGCTCTGCGATTCTCCTTCTGACTTGAGAAACAAGACTTTCCAGGAACTGATTCCTTCCTACGTGGTGTGTCCCGTTGTAGAACATTGCCCAAAAAAGTGTTGCTGTTACTTATATAAAGGCTTTTCGGTCATGGTCAACTGTTCTTCTTCCAATATTTCCCACGCTCCAGCAATACTTCCCGAAAACACCACAATCGTTCACCTGGAACACAACTCTCTTTCCGCAATAAAAATTACAGACAGTTGGTCTGGAGTGGATGAACTGTACTTGGACCACAATCGTTTAAATCCCTCCAAACATTGGAGATTTCCTTCTTCGTTGAAAGTTCTCTCACTTCGATACAACAGTCTGCAAGATTTTCCTGCAAAATTTTTGCAATACGTAAGTGATTCTTCTTACATTCGATTGGACATTAGAAACAACGCATTTTGGTGCAATTGTTCTTTCAAACCCTTCAAACTGTGGTTGAATCGCAACGTTCATAAGATAGTGGAAACCGAAGAAGTAAAGTGCAGTAGATTATTGTCGGAGAACAACACCGTTGTCGTGTCTTCCATATTGAATTTTCCGGACGATGCGTTTTGTTTGCCTCTTTTCCTCGCATCGAACGTTCCTCTGATCGTTTCTGGTTCCATGTTCTCTGTGGTAATAGTTGTAACAATGGTATTCGCTTTCTTCTTTCTGAAATACAGAAACACCATCTTGGCTTACGTGTACGTGCATTTCCCTTCGCTGTACTGCTGCAAGATTTCCGAACTGGACAAAGATAAGGCGTTCGATGCCTTCATTTCGTATTCCGGCAGCGACAGAGACATCGTCATGTGTTTATTGAAGGAACTGGAAGAAAACGCTCCATTCTTTAAGCTGTGCATCCACGAGCGCGATTGGATACCCGGTTATGACGTAATATGTCAGATAGAAGCTTCGATTAGAAACAGTAAGAAGACGATATTGCTCCTGTCCGAGGAATTCCTGAACAGCGTGTGGTGTCAAGCGGAGTTTCAATCGGCCTTGGTTCAGTCTTTGGAGGATAAGATGGAAAGAATAATTTTCGTATTGAAGGATACTTCGGTGTGCGACGTAGTTCCCGCGGACATGCGCGAGTTGCTACTCAGCAGGACCTACCTGGTGTGGGGCGAAAAGTGGTTTTGGGAGAAGTTGAGATACGCCTTACCTCGTTACTTGACTGATAAACCGTTACATCATCAAGTTCACGATGTAGATAGAATGATCGCGGAATTAAGAAGCGAAAGTGCATTTTGATTTGTGATATGTAAATTTATAATATGCGCCACAAACTGCCATTATGCGGATTTTAAAATTAAAAAAATATATAAGCGATTATTTATTCTAAAATCGTCACAAAACCAGCTAAAATTTTAATTTATGTTTTAGCTTAAAAAATCGAGTGACTTCCAGTTCAATCCGGAAGTTCGTTCATAGTTAATGGAGATTCTAATCTCTAAACTTGGCCCATTTGATCCGCATTTCGGTGGTGTCTGGCTTTATACGTCATTCAACTCCGTTCTGGAGAAAATTTTGATATTAGATTGCATGCTTCTAGCTTTCTATTTACCATTATTAATTATTGTGTTTCTATTATCCTTTTAGGACTAATACTAAAAACTTATCATACGTGGAAAGCTATTTTCAGATTTTTATTTTTACTTAATATTAAAATGGAAAATGTAAATAGTTTTACAAGTAAAATCTTATACAAATGTACAGCTTAATAAATATGCATTTCGGCATTACACCCTCGTCGGCTTACATTTTTTAGTCTCTTCTATTATACAAACTAGTATATTTAAGATTAACACAGGCACTAGAGAACCGAGTATGAGAATAAAAATAAAAATTTAATTGGGTATAGAGAATTAAGTAAACGTATAGCAATTATTAAATTAAATAATCAGAGTAAAATAATGGAATACATGTGACACAGGTATTTAAGCATAAGTAATACTACGGTAAGATACGTGATTATACTTTGTAACTTACCAATCAAAAAAGTAGGTGACGCGGTCTGTCATTTTGATTGTTTCGGTTTCAAAGATTATTGTAGCGAAGTGACGTCGTTAGGGATAAATAATGGATAACCTTTCGTCGGGCGGATGAAAAAGACACATAATTCCTCTTTTCAAAAGAGTGTCGGCCATTTTTAGTGACTCCAGGCTGGACCTAATGCCTAAGTGAATGGGGCTTTTTATTCTTTAATCCTTTCTAATTTGATAAATTGTCAATTTATCTACACAGAAGTCCAGGTAGTATAACTGACAATGCTCAGTAAGCGGGAGTTATGGGACCAGTTCTTTTCTTCTAGAAGTTCTAAAGTAAATTTATTTATTATAATTATTAAAATTAATACAAGATGGTGGCTTAACTGCTTGTCTATAGTCAAATTAATTAGTAATTACAGTAGACCCCATATAACACGGTAGATACGTTCCGTTTTATATGACTTCCGTGTCACTTAAATACATGAGCCAATCACAGCCCGGAACGTGTGCAGTTTAGGGACTACGGTTTGAAAGGTTTTCTTCCATAAAATTAACCGATTCTAGACTAATTCGACTCAACACACGTATAATTTTTTGGGAACAATCCGTATAAACTATGCTATAAACAAAAAATTGTAGGATTACTTACCGAGTGCGCACCGTTCGACGACGCCATTGATTAAGCTTGTTTTCGTCGCGGAGCAACTCATCAAACGGCGGACGCGTTTCCTGATAAGTTATTTTGATGAATAAAGACATGATGACTAAAGACAAAATTTTAGATAACTTAAAAATTATAAAATTACAGTATTAGAGTTACAGTACCTAATTTATGTACTGTACAGATGATAGTAAACTCAACTTTCCCGCCTAAACTCTCCGTATATACTTGTGTCGCTGGACGGCGGCAAGTAGTTCGGCTGCTCGTCCACTATTGGTCCAGATTCGAACAATCCTGTCGTGACACGACAATGTGTCTCATTCTTTTACCGTGTTATACGAACACGATCGCAATTTTTTCGCCGTGTTATACAAATCTGTGTTATATGAACCCGTGTTATAGGGGGCCTACTGTATAACACTCCCCGCGGGGGGAATTTCGAAAAATCCCTTCTTAGTGTACATTTACTCGACGTACCCTATTAAAACGCAATCAAAAACGCAAAAAACCGCATCTAAAATAGTATAATAGAAGCCCAGTTTTTCACAGTAAGCCTTAATTTTGTCCCTCTCTGCTGCGGGGGGAACTTCGACATCTATATACAGTAAAATAAAAACACGCGCGTATTCGAATGCAACGTTGTGTCAAAATGTAATTGTATTAAAGAACTCGTTGAGGAATGGAATAACGGACAGGACGTTCGTTTAACCACGTAATTATGTTATGGCTTTTAAATTAATTTTCTAACTAAGCTATAAATTTAAGTACAAAACATCTTTAACAACATAAATGCCAACCAACCGCCACACAGAAAACCTGTTCCACAGGACCAGGCACTCCAACCCCGCAACCTCTCTCTACGATTGTCCAAACCTAAAACTAACAAACATATGCGTAGCAGTCTTAACATTTTTCAACCAATACAAAAGATTACCAGAACTAGCGGTCACTTCCCGATCCCGACCCCTTTCTTTCGTAGAGTGGTTAATACGATGGAGTGTTCAGCGCAGTTATTAGGCTCTATACTCCGAATAGCTTCTTTCTGATAGCTAGGCGACCGAAGAGCCGGCCTTAAAGAATGGCCAATACGCACGCGGGAAAAGAATACCTTCCGGGAGGACATTTAAGGAAAACTGGCCCCTATTTGGGCGTCATCGACGTGGAGAAAAACCGGAAAACTCCACGTTGCCAGTCCGTTCGAGTGAGGCGCGAATCTTTCTTTCTTTCTTCTCTAATGTGGAGATTCTGGCCGGATGGCGCGAACCTACGACCGCACTCACCAGTGTTAAGGGACTAGTCAAGTTAAAGTGCGGGGATGAAATCCGCTCGGCCACTGGTGGGCGACCCCCGACACCTACATAACTAATTACCTGTACACATAAACACGGAGAGAAACGCCACGGTCACCCTCTGGCGGAATTATTGGGCGTTAGCCAGTGCGGCTAACGCCCAATAATTCCGCCAGAGGGCGACCGAGCAAGAAGCGAGATTTCGAATGTAAACTTGACGTGTGACTTATCGTTGTTTTGGTAAGTTTTTTTCCATTTTTAATGTATTTTGGGGGTGTGAATGGCCCTCGTTACACAATTGTCGAGTTCCTGACGTAAGTGATTTTACCAGATTGTTGTGAGAACACGTAATTTACGTTCACGACTGGAATGTGAGAATAGGGATAAGAAGATGGAGAAGGACATGAGATTCGGTCGGAGGAAGTAACTCGACGATGTTTACTACACTTATACCTTATTTATTATCAGCTCGAACATATTTCATTATGCATTAACATTTATCTTAGCATCTACATGCGGGAGAGTTTAGAATTTATTCGAGTGAAGTCACAACATCTCTTAAAATTAATTGTAAGTCCCACGTTGTTAAAATCGTAATAGTGATCGTTCCAGATAATTCGGACTCCGATGAAGTAGAATATTTGATGGAAAGTTCTTTGTTGGCACCGTGCTTTAAATTTTCTCGAAGAGGCCCGGTAAAAGTCCGTGAAAGATTTGCCGAATGTAAAAGGATCGCCGCCGCCCTTCCTTTTCTAGAGGACTCTCGTCCGGACCGGTCGGCCCATGAGAGATGGTGACCGACGAAAACGGTCGAAACCGTTGTCGTCTCGGACGAGATTGTCCGGTGGTGGACGATGCTTTCCGGGAGTCGATTGCGAGAAAGCGGTGACTGAGGAAGGAATCGCGGGAGAAAGACGTGGTGCCCCGTTAGGAAGTCTACGTAACTTTGTCGAGAAGTGAAGCGTGTCGACTTTCCCTCGAAAATGGTGACTTCGTACTCGGTGACGAAAATTTATAACAAAATTTATAAAACAAAATTCTTCTTATTACGCGTTCAATCTAATGTTAGCAAAGACAGTTTTATTTTTCCGGCTTGTTACATGTAGGATGTGGGAAAGTATTGGAATAGTGTCAAATATGATCCAAGTTATTTGCAAATTTCCACGTTTTCAGATCTCTAAATCCAAAAAGTAAAAGGCAAATAAATAAATACGATAGAAAAATATCCGGTGGATGTGTGCGTTTTGGCATCTATTTTGTTTAATATCTTGGGATGGAGTAATGATTTAGAAAAATTTGGTGCAATAGCTTGTGTGTAAGAGGCGTTGATGCCGTTAAATTTTGGTAGTTAGAGGTCGAGGGATGGGGAGATAGAGGAGGGAATATATGCTATCTCCGGTGGAATCAGAATCACAAGGGGAATATAAATTTATAATTGATATACTTTAACACTAGTTAAAGAGGAGAATAAACTGAATAAAAAACTGATAATATACAACAAAACAAAACTAATTCAAAATCTCATTTGAATTAAGTTTAAAAATTGTATTATTAAGAACATTGCATTATTGCATTGTATTATTAAGTCCATACATGCATATATTAATAGTTTTTATTTAAACATGTATATATATATATGTGTGTGCTTAAATAAAATGTTCAAATAAAAATTGTAGGCATGTACAATATGAACCAATGTTCTTAATGATACAATTTTTAAAATTAATTCAAATGAAATTTTGTATATATATTTATACAGATATACTTCGACTTACGTCATTCCTGATTATACGTCGTTTGTCAAAAAAGTATATGGAAAAATAAAAATTAAGTTTAAGTCATTTTATTCCACTTTATGTCTGTCTGCCACAAATATTGAAGTCGTAATATCACTAGAAAAGCGTTTAAAGCACATAAAATCATATTAAAATATATACATTTACAAGTATGTACTGTATTTACAGTACATGCATTCGTAAATTTAGGTTACTTTTTTCTGTACTATATTAAAAACTAAAATTTATTTGTTTGTAAGCTTAAAATAGATCCTTATTAACCTTATATTATTAAAAATGCATTAATAAATAAAATACAGAACCGGGAATGGTAATTTATGGTTTAGTCTAGTGACAAGTAAATTCGGAGACAAGTAAATTCTACTTACGTCGTCCCTCCTGGAACCAATTACCAATGTATACCTGGTATACCTGTATTTAACTATTAATATACCTGTAGGTGAGGTATACCTGTATTTAACTATTAATAGAATAAATGATATGTTCCATTCTAGAATCTGAAGATGGTATTATACGTGATCAAAAACATTTATTTCACCAATAAATGTTTCATTTTTTTACTGGATTTAAGGTTTTTGAATTAATTTCACATATTACGTGTGAGGTTTTACAACAGTAGGTGCAATCGAGGTCATTTCTTCTGTGCTGGCAGAATTGTATCTGGACTTTATTTATTTATTTTTTTGACTAATAATACTATGTACTGCTTGCTGGTTTACTTTGGAATATAATGACCAATAGAACATCTCCATCAATAAACGTTTGTTCTATCTCAGATTAAGGCCATCTTGAAGTCTCTAATCTCCAGTTGAGCCAACACGTAAGATGCAGAGAATGGAATCCTGTTTGACACCTATTGACAAAGGAGAGAGGATTATTGGTTGCAAGAAATCTATGCACCACTTTACAGGAATTCTTGGACAATTTGACGATTAACATGAGCGATATTGTTTCTCATTTATTGACTTGAATATCACTGTTCTCAACTGTATGTGTAGTTTTTCTCTCTTGAAGAGGAGAACAGTAGTTAAGAAATCATTAGGCATTTTCTCCATCTCATTGTCACTCCACCAGTTTTGATTATTTGTCACTTGATGGACCATTTAAACAAATTTTTTAATTGTAACAACCTTACAATTTTTAATTTCGTAATTCCTCAAAAAACTGACCCCCACAATTGTTTAACTGAATTTTTTAAATGTGCATATAAGATTATCATCATCAATTCTTTGGATTTAATTACTATCTCCTCAAAGGGAAACTAGTAGAGAAGTTCATTGTATAACTTTGTCTGCTTTGTACAAAAAGTTTTTGAAATACTAGGCAGTCAATTGGATCAGCAAGTATTAATAAAATTCTTGATTTTATTGATTTGTTATAACTTGTGTAATAGGAGAAAAAAATCTGATTGAATTTCAAAGAATGCAACAGAAACAGAGTATAGATGTATTTTAAGGGACAATGTATTAGTTATGGGATTTATATGTTATATATATTCTTAGATTGATAAGAAAATAATTGAGATGCTATATTTTAATGCAAGATTTGATAAATATAGGAGCTACAAGTGTTTTACTTGACTACCCTGAAGAAGTCAATAATAATTCACACTATGTTGGACAAAATTACCTTCTTCTCGTTACCTGGATCAACGAGTAAGTACATCAGACAAAATCTTTAATATCCAGTAAACAATTTTAATGTAAAATTCAACAAATGTTTTCGATATTACTCATGATCTACATCAAGTCAATAACATTCTAAATTGGAATTTTAAATGCCATGTTAATCAAACAATCCTTCCAAACCAACCACTTCAGGGCTCTAGAAGTCTTATAAATATAAAGGCTGACCTGATGGGCAGTTGTATTAACATAGAGGAAAAAGCATCTCTTATGCTTGGCAATGCTTTTATGAAAAATACCAGGAAATTCTGACATAAATTAGTTATTATTATTTTGTAATATCTTATGTTGTATATTTATGTCTGTTTAATTTTATACATCTTAAAGATGCTATCGAATCTTTATGTATATAATTTATACATAAAGATTCAATTTATACATACATCTTTGTATTTTTTAAATTTCAAGCATTCATTAGCCTGATAACTATTTTTTATCATCAAAAGTACTTTCATTATAATAATGTCTGACAGTGTATACATCAGTATGATAGAGATCATATCACAATACATGAGAAATCTGGTGTGTACAAAATTGTCTTTTCAAATGAGCATGCCATTGGAAAATATCTTTATATAGGGACTACTAAGAAACTGCTTTCCACCAGATTAGAACACCGAGATGATATTGAACATGGCAGGTATGATATAAAAGTGGTTAGAAAACCATTGGATTTTAACTGTATAAGTTTCTATGGTTGGAAGCGGGTCTATTACACCAATGCAGGGAAGAAATGTGATATTTGTTTGGGAAATATTACATTTTGTCAAATACTATTTGTAACAGACCAACATTGGAACTACCCAATTTGTGGTTAGTGATCTTTAATCAAATAAAAATGAAAATGTTTCTATTGCAATAAACAATCAATGTTTATGTTAACTTCTTAAGTTTTAATTTCAGTTTTGTTTTTGTAATTGCATTCTTTTATTATATTGTACATTTATAAAATTAAATCATACACTAGTAGTATGGCAGTACAAAAACAAGAAATAAACCATATATATACTATATTTTTCAATGGAACAAGGGATAATCCTAAACAGGATAATTAGTATTTGGTTAAGAAAAAACACAAATCAATGCACAATAACACAAACAGAGAATATTCAAAATTTAATGACATCATATAACATAATTCTTGCTCTGATATTAAACAATAAAATTGAAAAATAAAAACTAGAGAAAATATCAAGGAAAAAAATGATATGTCATATAATAACATAGTATAAACTTTCATATGTAACTGCCAACCAAATTATCATTACACTGAGGAACCAGGTAGAGTGTTAAAAATCAGAATTAAGGAACACACAACAGCAGTTAAATATAATTATTTGAACTCTGCAGAGTCTACTCATTGTAATCATGCAGAAACACAAAATTGATTGTAAAGGAAAGAATATGTTATAAAACGACGATTGATAAACTTAGTCCCGTGAATGTACTGCACTGACAAGGATCGAAAGATTGAAATAAATATATGAGAAAAATAAAGAAAATAACAAACGGTAATGGTTTGAAAATATTTCTTAATACCAGTTTATTGTTTTTAACATTTCACCTCAGATGAAGAGTCGGGAAAACAAAAAAGATAGCTAAGATTTTATCAAATTTTATATATTTTTTAATATAATTTTAATAAGTAGTCATGTATTTAATAAGTAGTCTCTCATTGGAGTGTGTCAGAATTCTTAAAAAGGTAAAAACCATTATTAAAAGATTTTTAGAACGTATAGAAATTATAAAAATTAAAGATGTCGGAATAAATTTGAACACTGACACTGTCATTACTGACAGTGCCAGTGTTCAAATTCAACCAAATCTACAGCTCAGAAGAGTCCATTGAAGAACCCCCTCCCTCCTGACCCCTCCAGTTTCTATGTTATACTATTACATTCTTCTAAATTTTAGATGTTAGACATACAGTGATAGTTATATTTCTTTTTAACTTTTCTGTATGATTCATTCTCTTGACTAATTTTATGCTAACTCATAACCACTACAACAAGAACAAAGGGCAATCCGGTGCATTTTTTATGTTCAATTTTTGTTGGAAATTGAATTTGTGAATCCCAAATTCTATTTAGAATTTCTGTTAGCCTGAAGAAGACAGCATTGCATCGTTGAAAGTACTTGCTTTGTTTTTACATGTTATTGAAAGATTAACACTGAAACACAATGTATTTATGTAGTTTTTACCTTTTGCTCTTTTGCTATTATTGACTTAATACAGTACAGCCCTTTGCATGATAGATGAGGATGGGTGCTGCAACTGTCAACACGTCTATTTTAACTGGTTTATCTATAAGTGGTCTTTGCTTTAATTTCTATAGTAATGTCTGAAATTCTTTCTTTCCAGTAATAAATTGCTATTAAGAATAACTTGTATAAATATTTAGTAAGGCTCAAAGTTATAGATGAAATTAATTTTAGACTTTTATATTTTGAAATAAATTTATAACATTGTACAAAATTTTTTATACTATTCACTAATCTATAATTTAGAAACTAATTTCCAAACATTATTTCTTTTTAATATTTAGAATGTTGTGAGATCAGCCGGGGGTACTTATCTACTAAGATAGTTAGTACCACTTAATTGGCACTAGTTGGTAAAACTAGTTTTCCATAGTTTCGGATCATAAGATCCGATCTTACATCAAGATTTTGACCAGGAGGGCTTTTGTACTAGATCCAAATTGTAGGATTCGAATCTACGTCAGCATGCTGACACCAGTTAATCACATTTATATCCACGGATTAACACACAAGTAGAGATCTGCCGTAGATCTGATTCAGGAAACAATCCAGAGACATGTCTTAAACAGTAAAGTAGAAAAATTTAATAAATCTAAAAAATAACAATATTCTACAGAAAGGGAATTAGATAAACAATCAAATCAAACGAACAAGACGACGAATAAATTACTCAAATGCGTCGGGAGAGAAATGTATTCTTAACCTATACATTTACGAGAGAGAGAGCTCACAATTCCTTAAATAACATACAACCTGTTAAAGGAGCTTTGTCGTCTTCTTATCGGCGAAGGTCCTTCAATTTATGAAGTTCTCATTCTCCTATTCATGGAGAAGGTATTGTTATTCCCAGCATCTAATATATCTCATATGTTCTGCATGAGTATTAACTCCGAAGCATTCGCCTATGGCTGTTGGTCTTATGGAGCCTGCATGGACTTTGTCTCCCTCATCTGGGATCTGTTGACAAACTCCTTGAATTCGGCTGAACTTCGACTATATCTTCGGATTTATGACCAATTATCATTCTAGGATTTTTTCATGTGAACGGATGGAAAGAGGGAAGAAGTGACGGGTCGTCACTTCCCATCGTAGCGAGATTTATAACAGATAAGGGAAGAACAGAGGATGCTCATACTTCCGTCAAAGGAAGTGACTCTCCTAGCTGTTTTCCCATGCTAGAAAAACGTTATTTTCCCATCAAAATGAAAGAATAATTTTCTGTAAAGAGTTTACTTTAACTTTAAATTATTATTTTAGACCTGAAACTATTCGGATCTCACAATACCTTCTTTAATTTCCAAGTACTTTCAGCCTATTATGGGGAGAGAAATTATCAAATAAAGCTTTGTAAAACACAAATCAAACCTAAAGGCTTTTGAAGATTTAGTCAGTAATTTTCTATACATTTGTGAGAGGCCAGACTTGAAAAGAAAATTTTATTAAAAAATTTCGTTCGAAAAAAAAAAAAAAAGATCGCTACGGATATGATTATATCCTTTCCCACGGACTTACTTCCCTGTTTGAGTGACACATCGAATGTGTCACTAGGAATCAAACGCGAAAAATTGCCATTGGACGTGAAGAACGATTTTACCAAAAAAGGACAAGATTTGCAAGGGAGAGGACCCCCAAATAAAGGAGAAGGTTCGATGACGCCACAGGGAGTTCACCTGACAGAAGAGTTCGCCCGACAGAAGAGTTCGCGTCCTCGAAGGTTGGTCGTGTGTGTACACTCGGATACATTTTACCGCTGATGCTCCTCCAATAGCCAGTGATCAGAAGCTTAACCGCCGATAGCCGATGAGTCCAAGTACCCACCAAGAACATGTCTTTACCGGAAAAAGGACCCAATTCAAGAAAGTGATCTTCAGGTAAATACCATGCGCGAACAATTGTAAACTCTCTCTCTAAAAGCATAAGTGTAACTAGTTTAGGCCTATATAATCAATAAATGGATATTAATTTCTATAATTGAATTGTAAAGCACACTTCTTTAGCTTAATTGGTCTCCATCCCGAGTCCAAGAGTCCACATACGTGACTGCTCGCGCGTAAATTCGAACGTAACGGTCTCTGTGTCTACCCATTTAGCGATAGTGCTAAAATCCGTCGAGGCGTTTCGATAGAATAGGTCCGAATTTGATCCTACCTCGTGTGATAGTAGCTTCGATCTCGACCACGTGTCCCACATTCTTTGTCCATTGGGTAAGATTAATGAGGACACCGATTCCTTGGAAATACCATATTTTATTTCCTTGGAACTACGGAATATTTACAAAGGTCTAAGTTAAATTACTGTACAAAGGTGCGTTCGTTGTCGGAGCTGACTCCGAAAGATTGGCGTAACAAAGCGAAAGGTCAGTGTACGAAAGCATCTCCTCTAGTCAACGTCCAAGGACCAAGTGAGGTCAGAGGGGAAAAGTCAAGCGGTGGCACCCTCTGCCCTACACCCAGAAGACACAGTGGTGTCAGTCCTGATAAATTTGTCATTGCCGTCTTCGCCGACGCAATGTCGACCCTTCGGTCCTGTGGTGCCGAAGTATAGAGGGACCCTTCGGCATTGTCACACATTTTGGCCAGCAAAGTCATATTTTGTAGTCCATAAAGTTCCAGCTTCTGTGCTGTTTCTATGAATTAGTCAGTAATTTCTACCTCTGAAGATTGAAAGGCTTGGAAGTATTGAAGAATTAAGGAAGGCATTCTATATATCTTCATTCAAGCAGAAAACAGTGGACTTTAAATTTTAGTCATTATTTCTTTATTCAACAAACCCAAAGGATTATTTATTATCTTAGTTTTCCAATCAGCAAAACGTACAGTTAATTATCACAAAAATTGGTTTCATTTTGATTAATTTTAAATTATTTTCAATTTGGCTAGATGTAGGCAGTCATGCTACCATTCCAAATTATATTGTATTACCACAAAACTGCAGTTAGGGATAGTCAGTTATATCTATCCCTAACCAAATTGACTTATATCTAATTATTTACTAACCTAANCGAACATTGGAGATTTCCTTCTTCGTTGAAAGTTCTCTCACTTCGATACAACAGTCTGCAAGATTTTCCTGCAAAATTTTTGCAATACGTAAGTGATTCTTCTTACATTCGATTGGACATTAGAAACAACGCATTTTGGTGCAATTGTTCTTTCAAACCCTTCAAACTGTGGTTGAATCGCAACGTTCATAAGATAGTGGAAACCGAAGAAGTAAAGTGCAGTAGATTATTGTCGGAGAACAACACCGTTGTCGTGTCTTCCATATTGAATTTTCCGGACGATGCGTTTTGTTTGCCTCTTTTCCTCGCATCGAACGTTCCTCTGATCGTTTCTGGTTCCATGTTCTCTGTGGTAATAGTTGTAACAATGGTATTCGCTTTCTTCTTTCTGAAATACAGAAACACCATCTTGGCTTACGTGTACGTGCATTTCCCTTCGCTGTACTGCTGCAAGATTTCCGAACTGGACAAAGATAAGGCGTTCGATGCCTTCATTTCGTATTCCGGCAGCGACAGAGACATCGTCATGTGTTTATTGAAGGAACTGGAAGAAAACGCTCCATTCTTTAAGCTGTGCATCCACGAGCGCGATTGGATACCCGGTTATGACGTAATATGTCAGATAGAAGCTTCGATTAGAAACAGTAAGAAGACGATATTGCTCCTGTCCGAGGAATTCCTGAACAGCGTGTGGTGTCAAGCGGAGTTTCAATCGGCCTTGGTTCAGTCTTTGGAGGATAAGATGGAAAGAATAATTTTCGTATTGAAGGATACTTCGGTGTGCGACGTAGTTCCCGCGGACATGCGCGAGTTGCTACTCAGCAGGACCTACCTGGTGTGGGGCGAAAAGTGGTTTTGGGAGAAGTTGAGATACGCCTTACCTCGTTACTTGACTGATAAACCGTTACATCATCAAGTTCACGATGTAGATAGAATGATCGCGGAATTAAGAAGCGAAAGTGCATTTTGATTTGTGATATGTAAATTTATAATATGCGCCACAAACTGCCATTATGCGGATTTTAAAATTAAAAAAATATATAAGCGATTATTTATTCTAAAATCGTCACAAAACCAGCTAAAATTTTAATTTATGTTTTAGCTTAAAAAATCGAGTGACTTCCAGTTCAATCCGGAAGTTCGTTCATAGTTAATGGAGATTCTAATCTCTAAACTTGGCCCATTTGATCCGCATTTCGGTGGTGTCTGGCTTTATACGTCATTCAACTCCGTTCTGGAGAAAATTTTGATATTAGATTGCATGCTTCTAGCTTTCTATTTACCATTATTAATTATTGTGTTTCTATTATCCTTTTAGGACTAATACTAAAAACTTATCATACGTGGAAAGCTATTTTCAGATTTTTATTTTTACTTAATATTAAAATGGAAAATGTAAATAGTTTTACAAGTAAAATCTTATACAAATGTACAGCTTAATAAATATGCATTTCGGCATTACACCCTCGTCGGCTTACATTTTTTAGTCTCTTCTATTATACAAACTAGTATATTTAAGATTAACACAGGCACTAGAGAACCGAGTATGAGAATAAAAATAAAAATTTAATTGGGTATAGAGAATTATGTAAACGTATAGCAATTATTAAATTAAATAATCAGAGTAAAATAATGGAATACATGTGACACAGGTATTTAAGCATAAGTAATACTACGGTAAGATACGTGATTATACTTTGTAACTTACCAATCAAAAAAGTAGGTGACGCGGTCTGTCATTTTGATTGTTTCGGTTTCAAAGATTATTGTAGCGAAGTGACGTCGTTAGGGATAAATAATGGATAACCTTTCGTCGGGCGGATGAAAAAGACACATAATTCCTCTTTTCAAAAGAGTGTCGGCCATTTTTAGTGACTCCAGGCTAGACCTAATGCCTAAGTGAATGGGGCTTTTTATTCTTTAATCCTTTCTAATTTGATAAATTGTCAATTTATCTAGACAGAAGTCCAGGTAGTATAACTGACAATGCTCAGTAAGCGGGAGTTATGGGACCAGTTCTTTTCTTCTAGAAGTTCTAAAGTAAATTTATTTATTATAATTATTAAAATTAATACAAGATGGTGGCTTAACTGCTTGTCTATAGTCAAATTAATTAGTAATTACAGTAGACCCCATATAACACGGTAGATACGTTCCGTTTTATATGACTTCCGTGTCACTTAAATACATGAGCCAATCACAGCCCGGAACGTGTGCAGTTTAGGGACTACGGTTTGAAAGGTTTTCTTCCATAAAATTAACCGATTCTAGACTAATTCGACTCAACACACGTATAATTTTTTGGGAACAATCCGTATAAACTATGCTATAAACAAAAAATTGTAGGATTACTTACCGAGTGCGCACCGTTCGACGACGCCATTGATTAAGCTTGTTTTCGTCGCGGAGCAACTCATCAAACGGCGGACGCGTTTCCTGATAAGTTATTTTGATGAATAAAGACATGATGACTAAAGACAAAATTTTAGATAACTTAAAAATTATAAAATTACAGTATTAGAGTTACAGTACCTAATTTATGTACTGTACAGATGATAGTAAACTCAACTTTCCCGCCTAAACTCTCCGTATATACTTGTGTCGCTGGACGGCGGCAAGTAGTTCGGCTGCTCGTCCACTATTGGTCCAGATTCGAACAATCCTGTCGTGACACGACAATGTGTCTCATTCTTTTACCGTGTTATACGAACACGATCGCAATTTTTTCGCCGTGTTATACGAATCTGTGTTATATGAACCCGTGTTATAGGGGGCCTACTGTATAACACTCCCCGCGGGGGGAATTTCGAAAAATCCCTTCTTAGTGTACATTTACTCGACGTACCCTATTAAAACGCAATCAAAAACGCAAAAAACCGCATCTAAAATAGTATAATAGAAGCCCAGTTTTTCACAGTAAGCCTTAATTTTGTCCCTCTCTGCTGCGGGGGGAACTTCGACATCTATATACAGTAAAATAAAAACACGCGCGTATTCGAATGCAACGTTGTGTCAAAATGTAATTGTATTAAAGAACTCGTTGAGGAATGGAATAACGGACAGGACGTTCGTTTAACCACGTAATTATGTTATGGCTTTTAAATTAATTTTCTAACTAAGCTATAAATTTAAGTACAAAACATCTTTAACAACATAAATGCCAACCAACCGCCACACAGAAAACCTGTTCCACAGGACCAGGCACTCCAACCCCGCAACCTCTCTCTACGATTGTCCAAACCTAAAACTAACAAACATATGCGTAGCAGTCTTAACATTTTTCAACCAATACAAAAGATTACCAGAACTAGCGGTCACTTCCCGATCCCGACCCCTTTCTTTCGTAGAGTGGTTAATACGATGGAGTGTTCAGCGCAGTTATTAGGCTCTATACTCCGAATAGCTTCTTTCTGATAGCTAGGCGACCGAAGAGCCGGCCTTAAAGAATGGCCAATACGCACGCGGGAAAAGAATACCTTCCGGGAGGACATTTAAGGAAAACTGGCCCCTATTTGGGCGTCATCGACGTGGAGAAAAACCGGAAAACTCCACGTTGCCAGTCCGTTCGAGTGAGGCGCGAATCTTTCTTTCTTTCTTCTCTAATGTGGAGATTCTGGCCGGATGGCGCGAACCTACGACCGCACTCACCAGTGTTAAGGGACTAGTCAAGTTAAAGTGCGGGGATGAAATCCGCTCGGCCACTGGTGGGCGACCCCCGACACCTACATAACTAATTACCTGTACACATAAACACGGAGAGAAACGCCACGGTCACCCTCTGGCGGAATTATTGGGCGTTAGCCAGTGCGGCTAACGCCCAATAATTCCGCCAGAGGGCGACCGAGCAAGAAGCGAGATTTCGAATGTAAACTTGACGTGTGACTTATCGTTGTTTTGGTAAGTTTTTTTCCATTTTTAATGTATTTTGGGGGTGTGAATGGCCCTCGTTACACAATTGTCGAGTTCCTGACGTAAGTGATTTTACCAGATTGTTGTGAGAACACGTAATTTACGTTCACGACTGGAATGTGAGAATAGGGATAAGAAGATGGAGAAGGACATGAGATTCGGTCGGAGGAAGTAACTCGACGATGTTTACTACACTTATACCTTATTTATTATCAGCTCGAACATATTTCATTATGCATTAACATTTATCTTAGCATCTACATGCGGGAGAGTTTAGAATTTATTCGAGTGAAGTCACAACATCTCTTAAAATTAATTGTAAGTCCCACGTTGTTAAAATCGTAATAGTGATCGTTCCAGATAATTCGGACTCCGATGAAGTAGAATATTTGATGGAAAGTTCTTTGTTGGCACCGTGCTTTAAATTTTCTCGAAGAGGCCCGGTAAAAGTCCGTGAAAGATTTGCCGAATGTAAAAGGATCGCCGCCGCCCTTCCTTTTCTAGAGGACTCTCGTCCGGACCGGTCGGCCCATGAGAGATGGTGACCGACGAAAACGGTCGAAACCGTTGTCGTCTCGGACGAGATTGTCCGGTGGTGGACGATGCTTTCCGGGAGTCGATTGCGAGAAAGCGGTGACTGAGGAAGGAATCGCGGGAGAAAGACGTGGTGCCCCGTTAGGAAGTCTACGTAACTTTGTCGAGAAGTGAAGCGTGTCGACTTTCCCTCGAAAATGGTGACTTCGTACTCGGTGACGAAAATTTATAACAAAATTTATAAAACAAAATTCTTCTTATTACGCGTTCAATCTAATGTTAGCAAAGACAGTTTTATTTTTCCGGCTTGTTACATGTAGGATGTGGGAAAGTATTGGAATAGTGTCAAATATGATCCAAGTTATTTGCAAATTTCCACGTTTTCAGATCTCTAAATCCAAAAAGTAAAAGGCAAATAAATAAATACGATAGAAAAATATCCGGTGGATGTGTGCGTTTTGGCATCTATTTTGTTTAATATCTTGGGATGGAGTAATGATTTAGAAAAATTTGGTGCAATAGCTTGTGTGTAAGAGGCGTTGATGCCGTTAAATTTTGGTAGTTAGAGGTCGAGGGATGGGGAGATAGAGGAGGGAATATATGCTATCTCCGGTGGAATCAGAATCACAAGGGGAATATAAATTTATAATTGATATACTTTAACACTAGTTAAAGAGGAGAATAAACTGAATAAAAAACTGATAATATACAACAAAACAAAACTAATTCAAAATCTCATTTGAATTAAGTTTAAAAATTGTATTATTAAGAACATTGCATTATTGCATTGTATTATTAAGTCCATACATGCATATATTAATAGTTTTTATTTAAACATGTATATATATATATGTGTGTGCTTAAATAAAATGTTCAAATAAAAATTGTAGGCATGTACAATATGAACCAATGTTCTTAATGATACAATTTTTAAAATTAATTCAAATGAAATTTTGTATATATATTTATACAGATATACTTCGACTTACGTCATTCCTGATTATACGTCGTTTGTCAAAAAAGTATATGGAAAAATAAAAATTAAGTTTAAGTCATTTTATTCCACTTTATGTCTGTCTGCCACAAATATTGAAGTCGTAATATCACTAGAAAAGCGTTTAAAGCACATAAAATCATATTAAAATATATACATTTACAAGTATGTACTGTATTTACAGTACATGCATTCGTAAATTTAGGTTACTTTTTTCTGTACTATATTAAAAACTAAAATTTATTTGTTTGTAAGCTTAAAATAGATCCTTATTAACCATATATTATTAAAAATGCATTAATAAATAAAATACAGA